CTTGGATTTTTTCGGTTTCTGAACCATAGTAGAAAGCTTTATTGGTAAATGTTCCGCCTGAGACTTTCTCAAAAAATAATTTCTAAATCAGCTACATTATCCCCCGTTTTTGGCTCCGTAAGACCAGTATTTCTTAACGGTTTTAACACCTCCCTCTCACAACAAATACATAAACTACAGCGCCAACATCCCCCAACATTTACCCATTACCACCCCCACTTGAGTCCTACCGTAATTACCCCGCCACTATTTGCAAAGGCAATTTCCATGCTTACAAGCCGGGTTACCCAGTTTCCTCTCCTCCACTTTTTCACCTTTAAAGGCGACACGTTTATTTTTTGCGCACGTCTTTTTAAAGTGTCCACTTTTCGACGCGATCAGGACTTGAGCGACGAAAATGGGGGAAGGGAGGGCGACGGAAATGGACGGAGGAGTACTCTAATTCCATGGTTTGCAAGCCGAACCAAAAACACATCAGATTACAGGGTAACAGGCATAGTATTGTAATAATTACTGTTGGTTTTATGGCTTCGTGCGGGCAGCACATTAAGCATCAGGGCGGTCAGGGGGATCGGTGGTTTTTGGGTTTGGGTCATTTTGTTGGTCAGAAGGGGGAGGGGAGCGGGGACTGATTTTTGAACTGAATTTCAAATTTTTTAGTCAATAACGGGGTTAAAGTACATGAAGTTTCATAAAAATTTCACGCTTTAAGGCAACGGATTTAGATAAAACTGTCCACAGAGCGCCTGCATGACTCCGCAAGCCTATCTAACGAATTCTAACCTGCGCTTTGAAGAAGCCGCTGAGATTGCCAACCAACATTTTGAAACTGCAGATTTCGGTCTTTCAAGGCTTCCTTATTTCTTTTTGCTCGCCAACTCGCTTACTCAACTTCCTATCTTGCACAATCACCTCCAACACCTCAGGCGTTCGTCTTCATCCATTTTCCCACCCACCCATGGCGCAGTCGGTGATGGATAGACTCGCTGGCAACCGACTGCAAAAAAACGAACGCAGATCCCCATCCTCTTTTTTATTACAATGTTTTGTTTTGTTTTTGCTGATCGTATCACGCCCTTCTGAAGATTGTATCTTTCGCGGTAAACGGGGCGATTTGGGGAGCTTCGGAGTCCTTGCAAGAAGTGGCGAAAATCGTGGGCTTATGGGCAGCTTTTAACAGCCCGTCCTCAGGGCATTACCGAGCCGCCAAAAGCCGTCTCGAGAGTTGTCGATTTAATTTGCAACGATTTTTTCTTAGAAATATTAATGATATAAAAGGCTTTCGGGGAAGGAAAAAAGGCGGAATTTTTAGAAAAATTGTCGAAGAATTGAATATTTAAAACAAGCCCTTTCTTTGCCCGTTACGTCCCCGTTGCTGCCCACTCTGTATTCCCTGACATTCTGCCCCCAATAACTCGATCCTTGAGTTTGAATTCTTCGTTACATTGACCTTCTATAACAACCGAAATGCCCTGCAAAAACATTCCGACCGCGCGACCGGTGGGGGGCTCGTTGACCCAGTTTAACACGCACCATGGGGTCAGCAGCCTCTCCTTTCCACCAGCCCCGCCGCAAAGGTCCGTGGCTTACCTGGGTCGGCGGCTGCGGCGGCGGTTGCAATGCACGCCGAAGTTGGTCGTTGCGGGTTGAATTATGACCCCCTAAGGGCCAAGGGTGTTTTTTTTTTGGAAGGGATGATTGGATGGCAGGTGATTTACACTGCTAGGAGGGTATTTAGAAGAAATTCAGAGCTGTTTTTTTTGCTATACGATCATGATTTAGAGACATTTCGCTGCAACGAAGTGTCCCCAACGTATGACTAGCCTCACCATTTGCTATGACCTTTGCTCCCATTTCTACATACTAACCAACTTTTTTTATTATCGATATTTCTGAGAACCCCAAAAAATAAACAATTCTTACCGTTACTATTCACAAATGCCTACCGTACAGTATCAATCCTAAGAAAAAAGTTATAGTTTTTACGGTATTACACTCACGCTACAAAGAATACCCAATTGTATTGTTTATTTTGTATCCGGCTTACTGTAAGTCGTTGAAAAGGTTGTCTTTTTTGGCTGGGCCGGACACATAATTGTGGTCTGGACATTTTTTGAATGGGGGATTTAGAAATTAGGAGAAGCTTGTGACGTCCAAAGGAAAATTTTGGGCAGTTTTTGGCATTACAGCAACATGTTGAAGTTCTTAGAGCAAAAACTTTAAATTTGGAAAAAAAAATTGTTGTATATAGTTGGCCTTGATCTTTCTATACTCTATAAAACATCTGGACTATTTTGATACAGCAAGGTTAATTTTTTACTGTAAAATGTGAAAGCAATTTTTAATTTTGAAACTTTCACGTTTTTCAGACATCACGTTGTCGCTGAACTTCGTACCATTTCCCAATCTTTTGTATGGTCCACAGACTTATCTACAATGTCACACCTTTATTTCCTAACCTTGCCCATACACATGTATTTTATGCTTTATTTCCCAATTCAAAAACAAAAATTATTACTCAACTTACAACATATCCCAATAAATCCCACGTACTTGGTCTATTTTTACCGAGCATTACTGGTCTGGTCGTAAAACTGGGTTTTATTGGGACTTTGATCTGTTTTTTTACAGTATTGTAAACGATGAACTTCTGATGGATGTCGCTAACTGGTTATGTCGTGATCGATCGGGGCTTTCATAATCTGGGATGATTAACTTTTCCAATCGACTTTTCTCATTAGAAAATGTCTTTTGTCTTCCAAAGGGAGTGGTTGTGTTATATTCTCCATGAAATATGGGGTGAAAAATTTCAGTCGTCTTCTTTGCAAAATGACAAGGAAAACGGTTCAATTTATACAGTCCACTTTGTGCATAGGTTTAAGTTTGCGTTTAGTACTCGGAGTTGTTCAATAATCTTTGCGTATATTATTATAATCTTACCATGGAGAATAGTGATAGTTGGCCAGAGGAAATGTCAGCCCGGCGGGAAGAAGTTCCGAAGTGCCAGAAAACTTTTTATACTGTTATAAAAAAATTTTGCTGACTTTGCGCAAGCCTTAATTAACGCATGGGTCTGGAATATTTTTGGTTTTTTGTTTTTTGCACGTTTGATCAACCTCTGAGGCCGGCATGCATAAGCTACATAAATGTTTTTTACCCATAAAATATTTTGTTAAAAATCGTAGTCATTATGTCTAATGTTCCTTCCCAGAAAGCACTGTCATTTTCCTTGGCTCTGGAGAGTATTCTTATAGTCAGGCAGGCTTCAAATTCATGTGGGGAAGGGATGTTCGACGGTAAACCATCTCCAGGCCAATTTCCTCATCTTCTTAACATTTCGCCTAAACCCCCACCTGACGCCCGTTGGGTGTTGTCTGTTTTTTCTAATTTTACACAAATTTACACCCTCATCTTTCCCAGTAAGCGGCTTAGGCTTTAGCCGTCCTGCTGTTACAAATATTAATTCTAACATGTTTTCGCGGTATGACCCAAGTGGAGGGAGGGTGGGGGCAAAGACCTGAAAAGGTGGATTACGGTATGTGGAAATACAAAACGTTGTCAGATACGAAGCTCAAAGACCGGTTCTCAAATAGGCATGAGGATTGTTGCTGATTTTTTACCATTTTCACACCTCACGTTTTAAAAATTGCTTTAGATAGGTTAAAAATCGTGAAATTTTTGAAACACCGATTTTTTTGCGGAGGCTCACAGTATTATCGAATCAGAAAAATTATTTTCTCTCCGAAAAATCGTTTTTCTCGAAATACCGCTTTTTCTATAGGATTTTTTTATGTGAGTCGATAACTTTCTTCGTCAAAAGTTCACTGTTGTAAGAGCTTACGGGTTTTTATTTTTTCTTTGACGTGCAGCAATTTGTGCAAGGATTCTTACAATTACAATTGTTAGCTAAAGGAAAAGTTATGAGAGGATTTTTAGGGGTTTTGCTATTCAAAAAATGTCTATTGCAAAAAAAATCTTTTTAGTATTCATACAATAGCGGGACTTTACAGCTGCATTTCATTCTTATAATATTATTGACCATGTTCTGATACCCAATTTAAGATTTTTAAAAACGTGGCTGAAAATTGATCATGAAAAAAAACTTCTGACAATCTGCTGACCAAATCGTTTTTATTACAGCAGTTGACATTCGCTTGAAAAAGCTTTACTCTTGCACCCTCTCTAAAGCCCTTCTTTTTCTTACAAAACTCCAAAAACAGCCTAGTAAAAACCATCTAAACCAAAGTCCGTGGTTACAGTAGCTATCAATGACCTTGCTGATAACATAGGTTCACGCTGTTTACATGTTCTACCCCCAATATTGGTAATTTTACCAAAAACACGCTCCTTTTTTGTTTCTTTGGATCTTTTTGTCTCTTTTTTATTCTCTTTCTTTTTTCCGATATTTTCGTTTTATCAGTTTATGCTTATTACAGCAACGTTTGGGATTCAGGCCTGAATTTCCCGTTACTCCTACTGTTCTTTGACCCCGCTGTTAACAAACATTTTTCTTAAGAGAAGGCCGTTCGACCCGATAAAGATTATTTTTAAATTCGAATGTTTTTCATTCATGTTGCGTTGGGGGTGTGCGAAGATAAGGGGTTGTAATTACGTCTTTACTTGATAGTCACGTTTTATACAAGCTCGGGATAACCAAAACAATTTTATCTTTGCCATGTTAAGAGAGATCTGTGGCATTTTCCTTTGTTGCGAATCCAATAACTTGCGACATTTGAGGGATAGCAAATCCTAGATCACATGTTTGCATCAGTTTTGATACGGCTTTCCGGTCGTTACACAAATAAACGCATAAACAACTTGTCTTTATAATCCATGGTTAATATAAAAGATCTTTAATCAAGCCTCTAGATTTGGAAGCTTCCAATAAATTTTCTTGCAGCTTATATAATATTATCACCGTTCTCTCGAATGCAAGCGTGGTTACACCTATCGTTGACCTTTGTCCACACCTTGTTTGAAAACACTTCTACTTTCAGGTCATGTCCGAAGGCTTGGTGAAGAATGAGCTGCCGGATTCGAATCCACCGACCACGAGCACCAGCCCCAACTACGAGCTGAAGCCGGCCGGACGGCCCAATCCGGACAATAACAACTGCATTTACGCGAACCAACAGTTCGAAACAAACTACATTGTGATGAACGACCAAGAGCCCTCCTCGTTATCAGCCTACTTGTCAACAACGTTCAATCTGCTGGAGAGCGACCCATCGCAGAATTCGTGGTATGGTAGAACTGTTTTTTATCGGGGTGTTGATTGACCGCTTCGAAAAGTTTTCTCCTTGGTTGTAAGGCCAGTTGCATTCTTCGAAGGTTGTCAAGGTCGGCATTCCTTTACCGGTTACTATTGAGGTTCCGGTTGTAAGATTCAAAACAACGCGTGTTACAATAATCATTACACTCTCCACAGTAGTAATTTTGGTTTCGTAATGGTCATCGCATAAAACACAAAAGTCGCCAAATTGGAATCATAAATGGCTCTTTATGCTACAGCATAAAAAGTATTACTTTATGGTGTATAAAACAACCTACCCTCATATTAATCTTCCACGAATCTCGTTGCAGTTTCAGGAGTAATCAAGAACAGAAAGCCGTTTACTACGATCGGAGTCAGACGTATTACCAGCAACCGGTTCAGATGAACGGCTACCCACAGTATATGATGGTGGATCGAGAGGCAATGAGTAACCGGTGCCAGGACTACAATTACGAAGTGGGTTGGCTTTTGCTACCTTTATTTCTGCATATCATATGATCTGAAATCCCATTTCCAAACTTTGTCCGAAATTGAAATGTGTCATTTTGTTCCCGAGTTTTTGCGATATATTTTTCTACAGTATTCCAAATCTAAAAGTGTTTTTTATTTTTTGCTTCAAACAGTATAAATTGGGCATACCATTCCCCAGTTAATTGGAAATGACACTTGATTATATTACACTCAAAGTTGTTCATGTTACTTATTTTCAGCCCGCAGAAAAGCGTCAACGGTTTCCGTCGACCGTCCGACAATGCCAACAAGAGTATACTGATAATTTCCGCCGTTTCATCAACATTCCATCGACCTCGACTGGTCCTAGTTCAGCGCCAGCGACGAATAACAGCGAAGATTCGGGTGTTCAATCACCCGACGGAAGCGAGGATTCCGATGGTTCCGTTTCTGGAGGAGGCACAGTAATGTGTCCCGCTTGTAAAAATGTCTATAACAGTCCACGGTGAGTGATACTTTACCGTCGTATAATACCTAATATTACGTCGAACATGGCAGGGGCATATTTTAAAAACCCTTCTACTTGAAAAGAATTTTTTTTTGATTTACAATGTTTTGGTGTTTTTGGGCAAACAAAAAGATATTTCGTAAGATCTCTCCAACTGTTTTTTAATTGATAACGGAGGAAAATTCTAGCGGTTTTGGAATTGTAATCCTAAAATCCAAAAATTTTGCCGCATTCGCACGTCAAAGAAAACCAAACTTGCCAACATGTGGTCATAATTGCATATTGTTTCATGCCATTGCTCTTTTCCAGGTCTCTGACGGGTCACATCGGTCGAACGGAGAAGTGTCGGGAAGCGATTGGGCGCGATTATCTGGAAGACATCATGAAGCGCGGGGATTCCGTCTGTATACCGGATGCAACGGCACCCGGCGAAGGGATTAGCCCGGTTTGCCCGCATTGTAACCGCTTCATTTCGCATTACAAGGTGAGCATGCAGCTTTATTGTTTTTCTAGCATTACTATCTTCCTTTTTCGGTATAAGAAGGCAAAAATCAAAAAAGTTTAGGATGCCTTAAGAAATCTGCCACTTCTTGAAAGCCTAATTTCCTTGTTTCCATTCCAGTGCCACTTATGTATTATTACATGTAAGAGGGCTACGGTAGATATAATTGTATATTTTGTAGCCAAGATCCCTATTTAAAGTTTACTGTCTTCTGGGCGCGGCTTTGTCGAATTGGGTTGGGAAATAGGCCATAAGTTTGGAGCCATTTCATTAGCCCACAAATTTTGACACACTCAAATCTCACTCTCGTTTGTACCTACTGTAAATCATAGCTTTTCGGGGTGTTTTTATTGTTTATTGTAACAGGGCGTTGTAAACAGCTGCAGCGCCCAATACTTCTTGCTTTTATATACATGGTTTTGCGGGTTCCATTCTTTTTTTTGTAATGGTCAAGGTCAGGGCAGCGGTCTTTCGTTGATTTACGAGCCCGTCAACGAGCATCCGCCAAACTGACGGGGGTTGCGTGCTGCTTTAATCCTCTTTTAGTTGGTTGATTACCCTCGTAGGAAACGTGTTGTATTTTGGAATTTTTGTAGAGTTTTATTAGCTTGATTTTTTGACATTTTTTTAATTACAATTGTGGATTGTCCCTTTTAAATCCGCCTTCTTCTTCAGTTCTCCAAATATTTTGGTCCCAAAATCTTCCTGACTTTTTCAGAACGGGGTTTTTAGTCGAGAAAATCTTTCATTTTGACACCTATGCCTCGAAAAACAATTATTCATTACGATTATCTCTCAGAAACTGTATTAATTCCCCTCCCATCCAAACTTGACTGCTTTTCTTCAGGGAAACATTCGCCGCCACGTGAACTCCTGCAAGCGGACGAGCCCCCGGAAGGAATCCAATGCCTCCGAGACCATGACCCCCTTCGGCTACAGCGGCATCTCATCGTCGTCGGGCTCCACGGCGTCGTCGTTCGATCTCGCAACCCCGTCCGCCTCCACCACCTCCAACCCATCCGCAATGTCGTTGGAGGATCAGGCGCCCTGCTCCTCAGCTGCCTCCACCACCTCCACGTCGACGGTAGTCCCCAAGCCCGACCTCATGCTCCAGCCCCCCACACATCACTATGCACCTCAACAGCCGCCCACGTACCATATGGGCGGTTACATGCATCCCGAGGATCCGGTGGTGCATCAGATGCAAATGCCTCCTCAGCACCTACCTCATGGCTATGTCGACTATATGCCTTATGATATGCCCATTCCCATGCATCAGCAGATGTACCAGCCTGTTTATGGGCAGATGGACATGGTCCCACCTCAACAGATGGCTCCATTGCAGCAAGAACAGCCAGCTCCAACGAAATCTCGACCTCCCAAGCATAATGGAATGGTCACTCCGGACGATCCATATGTTTGCTCATGGTGCACATTTACAACTGTCTACAAGGGCAACATGAAACGACATCTGATCAGCTGTCATAACTGCAATGACGAGTTGTTGAGGAAGTATAATTTTGAGCTCGAGAGGTTACGAAAGAGTGCGGCATGCAGAGCCGGGCCGGATTCTCTGCCGTTTATCGAGATACGACCGGCACAACCTCCAGGCACACGACGACCAAGGAATGCCAACTCGAATAGCAAAAACATGGGAAGGCCGAAGAAGGACAAGGAGATTAAGAGGGAGCAGGTGATGATGGATCAACCCAAAATGATGCATGAACAGGGCATGGGTTACGTGGACGGGAATGGGATTCAGTACTCGGTGGTGCCGCCTCCACAAACCATGGATTCGTACGAAATGTCAATGCAATTTATGAATCAGCCGGCGCAAGTTTTGTCAGCTCCTAATGCAAGTTACGGGCTGATCAAAGATTGCGGAAATGACAGCGGATTGGGAATTCAAGACGAGTTTGGTGAAGTGAATCAGCCGCCTCCATTGCCCGGGTACTAAGTAAGTCAATTAACTTTTATCTTTTTTTATTTTTTTCACTTCCTAGTTGACTGTTGATTATTTTTTCTCGAAAGGTTTGGCAGTGTCATTGATATGTTTTACAATGTAAGATGTAGGACTAATTTCCGACCTTGCCCTTATCCCAGAATCCGGCTTCGCATTTACATAAAATTTTAATTACGCATTCCGCGGGGTATCCTGGTTTTTGCGCCGAAATATAATTAGTCGCCCTGCATCGAGCGTTCGGACTAGCGAACGGAACAAGGTCAAGTGCTTTGCTTTCGAAAACGAAATTGATTTTTTTCTTCACAAAAATACGAGTTACAAAACACAAAGCAATTTTGCAAGTGAACAAGCTGATTAATGAAAATTTATGGGACAGAGTTATGGCCAAAAGCGTTTTCTCTCTGACCGCTCTTCGCATTTTGCGTTCTCTCTCATTCAGGATCTTTTAAGATGAATTAAGATGAATGTTTTAATCGTCACTTTTCCTGAAAATAAATCATTGTAAAACTAGTATACTGCTTGCCACATGGCAACTTTTCCACAACGTTGCAAGCCTGTTAAATTTTTTGCTTTTTTTCAAAGCCAGCAACGTCTTTTCAGTCTCCCCAGATTCTTTTACAGCGTAAATCAATGACGCCTTAAAATTTACTTGTCATTAATAACCACCATTTTTCAGATATTCGATCAACCGGTTCCCGACCCAAAATATATCAACCAAAACAACCACATATATTATATTATGTATCCGATATCAACGATAGTCACAAAGTGTAGAGCGTATATTGTCCTATGTCAGGAATAGAGAGCATTTATTATTATTTTTTGTATTTATTTCATTTTTCTGTCGTTTCCATCACAAACTTTTAAAATTCCCATTTTGATTACTATCCGTATCTTATATCATACATGCCATGAGAACATAAGAAGAGAAAACATTCGAAAAAATAAAAAAATAAATAAATATTGGTTTGAATTTTTTAAAATGATGACAAAAACTATCCAATTGGCTTGCTACGTATACGGTAGACTGTCGCCAAATTTCTCAATAAACATAAACAAGTTTTTTCATAAAATTTAAATCGTCAAATGTTAATGACGGATTTTATTAGCTTTATTTTCACAACATTCAGAACAATCTCTACTCAAAGCTTTTGGCAAGGCCACAGTTTCACATGAACACTTTCGAGAGCTGCCCTATTTCTCAAAGATTTGTCGCTCTTCTTCATTTCTTCATAAAGAAATACCGTTTATTACAAAATGGTTATGAGCCGGCCTCTCGGACGTACATGTAAATTTCTTAACATATCTGTAAATATGATATACAAATATTTTTGCAAGCAACCATATTTCAACCCACAGTGGTGAGAAAGACGTGGGATGCACGATTCCAATGCGGAAACTCTGTCGCAAAACAACGGCAAGAAGGCTAGAGCCGTGCTTTGTGGTTAGCCACCGACCACCATGTGTCATGATCGGCTATTGCCATATCATGTCGTGCCCTACTGTTCAACAAATGAGTCCCAAGGGTTCGGTAAAGACTTCCGTTGAGGTTTATCTTACAGCCTCTTTGATCGGAAGGCAATTCTTCGACTTTCTTCCGTCGATTACTTGCTATAACATCTACACTGTCCCAGCCTCTTATCTTCCATCTCCAATCATTTTTTAAAGCGTACTTTGCTCGATTTTAGCAGTGCACAAAGCTACAAATGTAAAATGTGCGCCACAAACGGTGCTGTAAATCTAAGGTGTCAAGTGTGCACGGCTTCATTCATTGCCCTTTTTGGGCCTCCACATCTCTAGACTACAATAATATGTGTAACATTATGAAGACGACTTACTCTAAAGTAACGGAGTATTAAGTGAAGGTTTAGGGTTTGAATGCAGATCTAAATGCTGTTTGTTGGGTGGGTACTCAGAAGCAATATTACAGCAAAGTGCCCATAAATTGTAATTTCGATTTTTAAGGTAAGAACCGTGCGTTCTTAACTTCTTTCCTACATTGCCTTTTAATATTTTCTACCGGCTCATGGAATAATCGATACGGATTCAGTTTTCAACATGGAATTTTCTTTAATGAATATTTTCGAGTTGCTAAACCCGATTATCGGGAACGTCCTAAATTTTCTTGTTATTGCAACCTTGCTTCGCACAAAATCTCAGACCCTTCGACGTTATCGTCGTATGCTTTTAACAAGCACAATCTGTCAGCTCATCTACATTTGGCTCTACAATATTGGCCAATCCAAAGTGGAGATCAACAATGGACATGTGTTTGTTGTTTTGACTGGGCCGTTGAGATTACTGCCGTTAAAAGCCCATTACTTCATGTACAGCATCTTCATCATAACCACGTTTGCTGCAAGCAATGTGTTGTTGTTTGAGGTCTATTACACGAGACAGATTGTCTTCGAGTAAGTTCTGTCAGCGACTCTCGAGGCCACCAATGATGGTTTGGCAGTCGAACTTACAGGGGAAGTACTCCAAGTGCGACGCTCAGATTTTGATGAAACTTGGCACAAATTTAGATTAATTTTTTTCTAAGATATATGCGAGAATTCTAGCTCGCGCTTTGCAGAAACAACCAAGATTTTTAGATCGAAAGTCGGCGAAAATTTAGGACTTTTTGCCGAATTTGGGCACGAGAAGTTTCATGCCTGTTTCTACCGTAAAGGATAATGTTTCTACAAAAAATCAAAATTTTCCGCACGAAGCTGGCAAAGTTATGGCTAAAAAGCGTTTTTCTTTCTGACCGCTCTCCACATTTAGCGTGCTCTCTCGGCGGCAAAAATCGCTTGATATCTCGGCGGCGCCCGCAAAGCGCGAGCTAAAACTTTCAGGAATTGATATTTAGTCCATACCCGACGTGTGTTCAAAATTAAAAGAAAATCTGAGCGTCGCACTTGGAGTACTTCCCCTGTCAATACGACAACAACGATGTGCATGCACTCACAAGGGAATGGACTTTACGTGTAAATCGATTTTGACTTGGGACATAGTCAGATCGAAAGGTGTGTGGTAGTCGATTATTCACTTGGGGGGAAATCTCTGCGCGGGGCTTCAAAGCCGAGAAAATCGGCTTCAAAGTTTGGACGAAAATCAAAGGAAAAGGATAGGGATCCCGGAAAAGGAGCCATAAAAAGTGTGAAGCAGTGGCCGAGTGGTCAGTGCGCTCGCTTTTTGCGCAAAAGGTCGCAAGTTCGAATCTGCTTCCATTCATAACTTTTTTAAACAAAAACTTCTATTAATTTTTCCCCCTTGAACTCGATTATCAATGCAAGAAGTATATTTTAAACGGAACCTTTCCATTTTCAACGGCTTTGCACCTTCCCTTTACAGTTTTAGAGCGCAGAGCACAACATCAACCTGATGTATTCAAAAACAACTTTCCACTTTTTTCTCTATACCACTTTTTTAAATGTACAGCCGGATTAGCACGAAGAAAGCAGAAGTAAAAAACGATAATAATGATTTGAGCTTGGAAACACTCGAACCTGCAACCTCTTGCGCAAAAAGCGAGCGCACTGACCACTCGGCCACTGCTTCACACTTTTTATAGCGCCTTTTCCGGGATCCCTATCCTTCGATTTTCGTCTAAACTTTGAAGCCGATTTTCTCGGCTTTGAAGCCCCGCGCAGAGATTTCCCCCCAAGTGAATAATCGACTACCATACACCTTTCGATCTGACTAGGTCCCAAGCCAAAATCGATTTACACATAAAGTCCATTCCCTTGTCAGCCCCATAAACTTTTCAAAAGGTTTTCGGAAACGTCGTAGATTGAGAAACAGACAACCGGCGAGTACGAACATCGGGGAAAAAGAACTTCCTTGTCGTCTTGTAGGCTAGCCAAAACTCAGCTCGCTTGTTGCCGACTTGTTATGCCTTCGGCTTTCTATGGCCCCACTTTGCATAGGTAGCAATAAAACCCCATATTTGATTATGATCGAGAATCAGTTCTGGATCTTCTACCGAGGATAGGTTTTATTTCTGGAGCTAGCTGAGAATCTGAGGAGCGCGCATCTGAAGGCTGTAAGAAACAATGTTGTGGGAACTGAACCAACGAATTTACAATGTAAGATTAGTCAGTCAGCAAAGCGATAAAAATAGTTTTTTGATTCTCTAATTTGGAACGTTGCTGAGTGTTATCAAGCCACAAAAATGTTATAAATTCCAACTTCTAGTTATTCTTAGCTCGATCCCATTGTCAAATACTTAAAAATTATTTTTCAAGCCTAGCTGTTTCAGAAACTACCACATGACAATTGAAGACATTCAAAAATTCGCATTGTGCTCTATTTTATTTGGCATTCTCCTTGGCCTTTGGGGAATCTACTGCGCCATGGAAGCGGGCGATCCGAGTGGTTATGTCGATTTCTTCGCCATCTATCAGCGTTATTATGTTAACAAACGGCCAATGGATTATTTGGTCCTAAACAAAGTGAGATTATACAAAAAAATTTATTTTGCAAATTTAGGATCAACTCGGCTTCAAAGTTTTCTTTTGCCTGATCGCTACCTCGGAGGGAGTCAGTGTTTCCATGGCTTTTTATTGGGGCAGATATATTTATATGGATGTGTACAACAAAGATACCAAGGTTATTTGTGTAGTGTCGAAGGAGCAACATAAATTACTCAAAATTATCGTTATTCACGTGAGTTGACGTTTAAGACATAGGTAAAAACTTGATCTTGTCTCTTGAATTTTTGCTAACTCTTTGGTGTTCGCCACGTTTATTTTCCTTTTGGGGTAGCCGCAATGCAGCCAAATCTTACAATTAGACTATGAAGTAGGTGCTCAATAATTTCAGTGTTTTGCCAATGGGCAGCAGGGCAAAGTCAAGGGATACGGTGTAATAGTAAACACCTTTATTCAGTAAATATGCTTTAACCGTATTTGCCCTTTCCTTCCAGGCCGCCATAATAATTTTCCAAGCGATTCTCCCAATGGCTGTAACCGGAATCGCCGTTCTCTTGGAATGGCAATGTTACTATATCGGGACAATCGGTCTTATCCTCCGAACAACCATTCCAATCTCCCATCCGCTGACAATTTTGTTGATAATCAACCCATACAGGCTGGTCTTTCGAAAAAGGGTGAACAATGAGACCGAAACTGGAACTTTTACAGAAAATATTACATACATGTCATAGTAAATAAATGGTTAAAATCCATGTTTCAAGTTTTTGATTTATTAGAAATCAATTAATGAGATTTATAACAAATCTCAATATTTAATAAACATGATGTTTGACGGCCTTCTCTTAGTACTATTTTTCCGATATCTTGTCGTCGTTGCGAAGCCAGAGTTGCTTTGCGTTGAAGTCTCGGCTCCGACCCGAATCCGAAGCTGCCGCAATACAAATCGTCGATAAGGACCGATAAAACAGATAGTCATTATTGAGGAAAAAGTTGACTGGGAGGCGATCACCAGGATTCCAACCTTGGCAGTAAATGAGGTAAAGGGCTTGCCGATTAAAGCTGAGGCAAAAGTAACACACACGGGGAAGAGGACGCAGATGAGCGGAACGAGGAGCTAAAAAGTTGAGGTACTATGATAAATTTCAAGAGAAATATTTTTCTTTCCGGCTATGACAGTACTGAAAGTCGAGGTTTTGGGTACAGAGAGTCCGGCCACATCTTTGACATTTATTCCTACCTGAACTCCCAACAAAATCGTCAGTTGTCTGTGCATTCGATAAGTCGATTTGGAGAATATCGCTCCTTGTTGCCGAATCAAATATAGAATATATCTGACACAAAGAAGGTAGAAGAATTCTGCGAACAGGGCGATTGCGAATATTCCCAAAATCAAGCTTTTGAATTCGCTTCTCTCGCTCTTAAATAATATCCGATACGATCCCGGAGTAATTGGATCGTTGGCCCACAGTCCTCGTTGAATTAGGAGAGCCTTCGCCTGCTCTTGAGTTGCCAATGAATTGCTCAAGCCAAAGCCAATGCCAAAAACGATAATCTCGCAGAAGATAATGTAGATCACGGTGCAAATGGGATGGCTGGCAACTCGACTGAACGTTTCGTTGGGTAGGATCACAACGAATCGATAAACAAGGCCATAGTTTTGACACGAGACGACGTTACCCGCAAAAACAGAGAGGAGAATGATCTTAAATTGATTCAGGATTAAAAATCTTGTTTTATGTAAAATATGTAAGTATTTTAAAAGTGGGATAAAACTTTTTATGAGCTTACCATAATATATACTCCCTTTTCACCAACATGAGAAAAGATGCCTTCCATTTTCAGACCCGTACCAGGAAATGGATCGCCAGGCTGAAATTCGGAGATTAAATTCGAAGAAAAAAGGTACCACTTGAAGAAATGGCTAGTGTCTCAAATCTTAAGCGCACAGTCTAAGCGGTTTTTGTTTTAAATTTCATAAATTTAGGTACGTGTCTTGCAGACGCATTCGCAAACTTTGTGACAGCATAACAAATGAGCTGAAAACCATGTCCACCCAGGCCCTGTTGGTACTTTTGCTGTGGTATTTTTACTGTAGGAGGTAACAAAGAATTGGCATTATCGGCAATGCGCTTGGTAATACTAGAGCTGAATTTCATCGGTGGTTCCATAAACCCGCTCTAAAAGTGCCGCGAAAAAATTTATTACTCAACCCATCTACGTTTGTGTCAAGCTTTACCAAAACATTTGCTAAAACGATAGATATGCATGTTCCTTCACTTCCAGCAACTCAGTTATTAGAATGTCTACTTACCACTGGACAAAGTAGAAACCCAATAATGACGGTCAAGATCATGTCGTTCAGCTAAAGCAGGAACAGATTACATTATCTCAGTCATCGTTTTTCACTTACCGTTACGATCACCAGAAAATACCGATAAAGTCCCATTGTCTTTGGCGATTTCTTAATGATGATAAAAACAACCGATAGCTGAACGAAAACCGAGAATGTTGACAACACGGTGTCGGCAAAATGATACCATGTCATCAACATGCCGCGTTGTAAAAGCTGAAAATGAAGTTGTAAATGTTCAACTTTTGGAATACAAAAGTCAGCTCGGCATGAAAGCGGGACGAAATCTCGGTAGTTTTTCGTTAATTTGCGTCACAAATCAAACAAAAATGGGGGATGTAGTTGTTCCGTACCAGCGTCCTTAAAAATGCCCTCAGGGCTTTTGTAACTTAGAAGTTTAAAAGTTTCACCTGCGGATAAAAACTAGAAAATAAACTTTAAACGGGTCCCTTTTTTGGAACGCTTATTCTATTCATCAAAATACAAAATAACGACATTAAAACTTATATTATTTTGGAATAGTAAGCAAGTTGGTTAAGTTCCAGTTTACTGTAAATAGAATTATGGGCTTATTTCATTAGATTGGAACGCAAAAAATAGAAGAATAAAGAGCATTTGGTGAAAGGTGCAAAAAAGTTAATTATAGTAGTTAAAAAGGGCATGAGTATGTAAAAAATAAGTAATGAGGGTAGGGATTTAGAATATAAAACTTTCTTTGACTGGCTGAAGTTCTCTAGTAAATGCAAAGCAATTGTTTTGTTACGATCGGAGAAATCATAGATTTTGGATGACATACGGAGTCGGACATCAAGCCGGATTGGAACATTTGTTTTGCCAGTACAGGGCACGTCAAACTGAGGTAGGCTAAAACGGTACGGTGAATAGGATGGCAATTCAAGAAACTTTTAGTCGGGGAAGAAATGGGGATTTCTTGGGGCGAGAGAGTGCGTTTTTGTGCGTATTTTCTCTGATTCTCTGTGAAATCAAAACGAAGTATGTAAAACCGATAGCGAAGGTTCTATTCCGGTCACCGGACTCCTCAGTTTGACGTGCAGGGAGCTGGAATCTGCCTTAGAATCTCTACAACCCCTCAATTTTGATAACGCAGGGAAATTCCCAACGACGGCTGTGAATCCTCGAAACGAAAGGTTTCCAAATTTATGACCCCAAGACCGTCACTATACAAACTTTATAAGCGGCCCCAAACCTTTTACGCTTTTCACTCAACAACTTAACCTATACACTCAAATCTATAATACCACTGTTATTGTATCTCTCGAACCTACGTTGTCATCCTCAAGGATTTTGTAACAGGCTGCGTCTCTATTATTGTTCTGTTATTCACCCCACTTTATGACAACTTCTATTGTTCCGCCTAAAAGTTGTATTCAGACATTGAAATAAACAGAGTTAAGAGTGTTTTTTAACCTTAAGTCAAATGTTTTACTACAAAATCTCTCATTGTCTTGGGGATGAAAGTAAATTTAGAAGCGTTGTAAATAAAAGAAGTCGCGTTTTCAGTGTCATGACGGGTGTTTTTGTTATTTTCCTCATTGATTGTGAGTAACCAACATAATAACATTCGTTTTTAAGTTTACGGTAAGTACACGCACTTTAACAACGTGGGCGCGGGGAAGGGAAAAGTTTGAAAAGTCTCTGTACATTTATAATTCAAAAAAGGATGTACATATTTTAAAAATTTAACTTGGTTATTTTGTTGTACGCTTAGACCAGTAAATGCAGAAAATAAGTCATCTTTTCTGATTCTCTAAGCTGTAAAGGTTATAAAGGCTTCGAAAATCTTTTACACTCAAAAATTTTCAAATGTGACAAAATATATTGTAAACCTGGATATAGAATTAAAATTCAAATTTACAAAAAAGGAAGCCAGCGCAAATACCAAGTCTGTGAAGGTCTGTTTCTTAGAAACGGAAAGCGTCCATTATCTGCAATACCATAATTATGGTATTCTTGGGTTACCTACATAAAGGTGATGTGTATCATTACTGTTATACGCGTTTATATGTTTAGAATGTGATTTTATGTGGAAAAAAAGATAGTGAAAAAAATAACTCTTACAAAAGATCATTGAGTTTTAGATCGCGCTGATTGTAGGTTGTATGTATTCTCTGATGAGAAACAAAATTCTGGCCGAAGCACATTATTCTTTACGATCATAATCACAACAATTCTACAAAAGTTTAACAGCTCATTAATATTGGTCATCTCCTCTTCAAGAGCCGCTCAAACGTCACCTATCAAAAGTTTTATGCTTATCAGCAATTCCTGAACAAAAGACAATTAAATTCGTTAATAAAACAACTCTATTCACACTTCAAGTCGAAAAAACTTGATTCCAAGAAATTATCGGTCCATTGGAAGATGAATTCCTTTTATTTTCTAATCTTTTTTCTGTTCTTTGTTTCTTCCAACGCCTGGAACCTCCAGAAAATTCATTGGAATGTGGCCTTGGATTCGAAATCTGATAAAATCTCGGATTTAAAGTCCTTTACAAGCTCTATTAATATTACTCTGCAATGTGAAACCTACAGATGTGATCTGAATTTACCTTTTATGGTAAAAAATCTATCTTTAGAGGATTGCAAAGCTTACAAAGGCGGATATTTAATTGGGAGTTATGAAACGGATATCAAGGAAAATACTTGGAATATAAAATTTGGCATCAGATTTGCGAGACTGGAATACTTAACGCTGGAATTTAAATATAATGGGGCCATCGGAAATGAGTTCGGATTCAACGTGAAGGAGTATTACGTAGATGGCGTCAACAAGTACGTAGGAAATCTAAAGTACCCTAAATTTTTGATTACCCATGATTAATTAGAACAGTTCAAAACATCAAGGAATGGCTAATTATGTAGATGAATAAAATCTGGGCTCAATTAGAGTTCGCATACTAAGGTGGGCAAAAAGGTCGAAAAGTACACATCAAGCTTTGACATTTTCAATTAAGAATTTACAGGGAAACCCTGAACGGTTGGAGTACTTCCTCTATTAGGTTTTTTGGCCACAGTTAGAGGCTTTAGAAAACTTTCTAATAAAAATCCTGACATGCTAGCCTTAACGTTCCTGAAAAAATGTGGTTAAGTCGTTTCTGTGTTGTAATGGTTACAAAAATACATGAATGTATGAGACTCTGCTTTGAAAGTTTATGCATTAAAAATGTCTGAATTTCAGTTTCTACCTAACCACAAGTACATCAAATCAGCAAAGGATGACATCGCTTTTACCGGTCTTCAAATTTGACCAGGAATTTTTGCTAACTGTGAACGTAGATGCCAACGGAACAGTGATTTCAAATGGAAGATCGATAAGCAAAGGGTGAGTGATTAACTGATAGGAGTCGTTCAAAGAAAGTATTACAGTATTGAGAACGATATCCCAATAAGTTAGCAGAAAAGTAAAATATTATAGGGGAAGGCGCTTTTCCATATAAAAAAGAGTCAAAGGTACTGGAAAACTGTGGTAATAAGGATCTTTTGGTTTGTTTGCGCAGCCCATTGTGTGTGTAGTGCTATGCAAAGCAATAAGAACAAAATTGTAATCTTAGGAACAATTGAACCCATTTATATTTATGGAACAATGTCTTCATAATATCACATGTATAGCTCCTCCCAACCTAAAAGATAATATAACATGTAACCGATAATTAAACATTGCACATGATGGAACCCATTGGTATATAATTTTTTAACAAATATCAGCATTTTACAGCTCCTTGACATCAACCGATAACGATGAGATCAAATTAAACCGTTTGGAGGATATAATTATAATAATCGGCCCGTTTTTACACCAACAACATACCACGAGATACGATAATATGGTGAGAAAAATGGAGGCGAATGATCTTGAATGACGTTTAGATTGTAGACTATGTACAACCTGAATTACAGTACGATGGAGACAGAACTGGAGAGTTTTTCGAACAAATTTGGACAGTGATTCAAAATTTGTTCGGAAAAGATGAAAATGATATTGGTAGGTGGAGAAAATGATGACTGAATTAGCAAAAGCTTTGACATAAAATTTCTGAAGCATGACATACACTGTTTGGTATGTAGTTCAATGCGAGCCAAAAAAAGTTTAATCATTCTTATTTTTTTCCAATTGTAGCTATTGTCAGACTGCTCGATCTCTCATCCCCCACATGGAACGGCAACATCCTCTCCCTTCCTTATAACACATCTCTTCTCACATCATTTGTCTCGAGCAAGGAAAAGGTTCAGATGAAAATGGATATTACAACAACTCTGCTGAGAAGATATTTCGGCCAAAACCTAAGGGCTTTTGATCAAAAAACGGACAATCTTTTTATAGGAATCTCGAGATATTTGGCTGCTAAACTGTTGGAAGATACAATGGACAACGTGGATGATCAATTGTTCTTGGTGAGAAACCCGGAAAAGGATAATTTTAGGAGCTCTTTTAGAACGAAATTACGATCAAGAATCAAAATGACGCCGGAGATAAAGCGAAAGACATGATGTATACTTTGGAGAGGATGTTTGGAAAGGAGGTCACTGTCAATGCAAGTGTACAACTTTATGATGAATACAATGGAAAGATGGTTTCTTCGGAACGCTTTGGTTATGCATTTGAAACGGTAACCTTTACTGGGGAGTTGATCGGATTTTTGCTCACTTTAACGGACTAAAGTTAAACCTTATGAGGCCTTTTTCACCGTTCTCACTATGACAACATGTAGCTGTATAATTATTCGAGTTAATGACAAAATTTGTATTATAACCTTATCGATAATACCGTATATTACGATACAATTACAGGTTATAAAAAGCAGACCAATATGCGGCCGACTTGCCGCTTTCGAGATGATCAATTCTTGGGTTCAGAAGATTGACGTCGAGACTACAGTAACCGTTGACAAGAATTACAAGTTAAAGCAGAGTCCGGTAAGATACATTGAGCAGAAGATTTTGCCCGTATTTTACATGGATGATGACAAAAAGGAGAAGTTCTTCTATTTGCAAAAATGTAAGTAGCTTACGGTATTTGTAAGCAGAGATTTTAGATGCATAAAAAACGGGACTTCTCAAACTTTATTTTTAATCTCTTTAGGTAGCAAAAGTAATAAAAAATATGCTTTAGCAAAATAATATCAAAATGAGATGACAAACATATACATAGGTTGCATCATGCTTTCTCAACATGACTTCACCACATCTTACCTCCTCTCTTTTTCAGCGGACATTATTTGCTTCCCTAACATACCCATCGACCTGAACAGCAAAATTATTTTCTCTCCACACCCTCAACTCTACAACACCCTCTACCATCAAGACGTCCTTGATTTTTATCAAAGCTATGGTCTGGACAAATGGACAGACGAAATGGCTTACAACTTACTCCTGACCTATCAGAGCGATTACAAAGAACCGGGTTTCGGGTCCATGTTGGCAAATGTCATTAAGACAAGGAACAATTCCAAAACTTCTCTGAATTTACTTGAATTATTTTCGGAATTTCGGGAAAGAAAAATGTTTAATGCAGATTTTAATGTAAGTCTCAGTTCAGAAAGTGTAATTTTATTTAGAATGTTTACAGGAACTTTATTTATGGACACACGCAAAGGCTAAATGAAGACGTCAAGGGCTCCAGTTTGCGGAAGCGGTAAGATTTAAAGATGGAATTGTAATGCTGTCTCTTGTAGATATCTGCAATCCTTGGTCAGCATTGAAGCCGTTAGAGTTGGTATTACGGAAGAAAAGGAACGATATGTGAAGAAGAATGATGCTTATCAAGTTCATTGGGCAAAAAATGGAATTGAGCTTCTGGAAAGGTATCCTATTTCTATTTGCCAGGGAATCTCTCAAGCAACGGCACACTGATTTTCATAATGTCTGGCGTAGAAGTAGATTAGTGTTTCCCAAGTAGTGACGTAGGACTTTTCCAAAAAAATTTGAAGAAATTCTTGAATTTCACTGTAAAACTTCTACTGTAAACTTCTACTTCAGCCTGAACCCCGACGATTTCACCGCCATGGTCTGTGCATCAGTCAGCAATCTAAATTTTGTTCAACACCTCAATTGGACCAGGGTCATATCAGAGCTCTCCAAGTTGCGGCCTTCGGTCATATATGAACCATTATTCAGACTAATAGAAAAAGGGCTACAATGCCTCACAGTTGCCTGACTACCGATAGACATTTATTCCGTTAGAAAAAATAAATTATGCTGTACACTTAATAAAAGCATCTAGGAAGTGTCGCCAACTACAGCCACTGAGATCGCTGGGCTATTAAAGTTCTCGCCAAAAATTATTATATATAACATCCATGTTATAGGTATAACAGTAATACTATTGTGTAACATCACTCCATAAAAAGCCAACTAACGAAAGTTGCGATTACTGCCAAAATTGAATTTTCGATTCTCTTCCCAATGCTGGTAGGGGCTACACTAAGCTCAACTTCATCAGTTGTGTTCAAATTCAACAATGGGCATCCGGCTTTTCCATATCTTCCAACATGGACTCCAAAATACATCCGATGGTCTTCAACATTGTCTCGATTACTTTCGTCGTGACATTCCGGATCCGTGAAGTCCTTACAAATCGAATAGGTCGTGTTCGAGGTCATGTCACTGGGGTACCAAACCTGAAAGTCACAGATCGTAAATGTAGACACAAGATTTAATTGCTAAAAATTATTGACAGATGCACTACCATAAATAACTAGGCTCGGCTGAGTTTCCATCGAGCCGCAAAAATCTCTCGAAACATGCTATGTCTACCCCTTTGTGTACCCTTTTATAGTAAACTTTGGAATTTGATTACAACAATAACCTACCTCATTTGGAAAATGTCTATAGCCAAACTTCCTCGGGAACAAATAAGTTACAATATCTTTGGCATGCGCAATGCGAAAATAGTTCGGAATTACTTCCTTGAATCTCGAAGCAAATACAATCTCGCCAACTCGAGGCTGCCTAAAATGACACGTTTGAAAAGAAGTTGTAGAGGGTCACAAAAAAGTTACTACAAACTCACCCAAAGCTATAATTCTCGGTTTGTTCCAGTTTTACAATCTCATTTCGCACCAAAGTAGCCGAAACTAGCGATGCCAAGGCTCCTCCCAAAGAATGGCCAGAGATCCAAACTTTATAATCCGGATACTTTTTGATTGAATCTGTAATTTTGTCTTCCATCCTCTCCCACAGTAGTTTGTATGCGTGGTGGAAATACCGGTTGATTTTTCCCATATCTTCCAGAAATGGGACTTTATGCCCTAAAGCGCTGGTGGCTTGTGTTAGAAGCTGAATTGCGCTGGTTGAGCCGCTAAAAATTACAGAATAAGAATATTCAGCGTAGTGTGGCAACAAAATATTAAGAATAACAATTGGAAAGTCAAGAAAATCATCTACGAACTACGAAAAATCTTACCGGAAACCGATGGCCAACGCTTTTTTCTTGTGCAACAATGCAACATAGCCAAAGCAGTCATGGTCAAAGATCCTTCCACAGTCCACGGTAACTTCATCAACCATCTAAAAAATTTTAGTTTGTAAAAATGATTCCATACAGACGTTCTATTAAAGGTCCAAAAACACTAAATACCTCTACGACATCAAAATGACTTTGTAGACAAACGGCCGGATCTTTTGAGTAAGCACCAGCTGAGAGTACCAACAACTTCTTTGCCGTATTTTCGTTATATCCCAAGTCATTTTTTCCAAGGACAAGATTGACGAACACTAGTAACAATAGTTCCTTGACCATGATTTGCTCCATTGAATCATCGAACGACGCCTTTTAAATCATCGATTTCAAATGAATCATGGGTCAAAACTCAAACAAAAACTGATAAAAGACCAGGGGAGGATCTGCATTTATTACATTATTATAGTAAAGCATCCAGGACGGAACAATAGAGAGACATTTTATACGATGAAACTTATTTGGAAGTTTCTGGAAATATTCTAGGATAAAAATGTATTCTCGTGCAAAAAGGAGGCCAATAAAGGACGTGTAAACTTTTTAGTTGAACTGAAAATGCCCTTTAAGCTCCATTGAAATGTAATTTTCACTGTGGGAAATAAAAGAAGGAGGGAGCTTTTAAAATACTGAATAAAAGATGGAGAAACGTCCGGTAAGAAGAATACGGGCTGATCTTGAAAATGTTTTGTTTACTCTGTTTCTATAGTCATGTCTTCTGAGTCAAATTTTCGCATCATTTGGCGATTTTACAGTCAAAAAATCCAAAAAATTGCTTTGACAACGAAAAAATCAATTTTTACAAGAGGTGTAGCACCTCCATACCGAAGTAATCTCCCGAAAATTGATTCTTAAAATTGAAATAAGTGTTCCCTCAAAACCAAAAAAAATTCAAAAACAACTTTTTCGGATCACAAACACCTTATTTTAATCCAAAATACCTCTCACAAAAGGCATAAGTCGCCGAAAAACCAAAGTTCAAGTGCTTATACAAACTCCAAAATAAACAGTTTCGTTCACCAAGTAATCCCCATCGGTGAGAATGTTTTCGATTTCCACAAAACTGTCAGTTCCCAGCCATCCATTCGGCTTGTCGGCCTTGGGTCTTCCCACAAAGCTGTCGTCCACCACTTCATGAGAGGGATTCAACTCGAATCGGTAGTCCATTCGACTGGTCGCGTTCTTATTTTGATCGTAGAGAATAAGAGTTATGGTGTCTTGGAAAGGCCATTTGAGAATTGGATCGTAGGGACCGGGGATAAGCTGGACATAAAAGGAGACAAATCGACCAAATGCTGGAAAATTTTAGGATAATAAACAATATAGATTGTAGTTAGAATTTGTCAATGTTTATACTATTAGGTTGTATAATATGTTATGACCATTTTCTTGCAAAAGTTTGAAGTCGATTATTTCCTAGCTCAGATCCCTCCTTAGTTCAACATACCTATAGACTAATAGAGGGCTTATCGAAGTTTCATCTAGTACGTATTGCAAAGTCTTACGGCATAGCCGCAATTTTCTATTGCTAAAAACGCGGAAGTGCCCCGATTTTGGCAGGGTACGAAACAACTCAAGTCACGTCTCTCTGCCAGCCGCTGCTGGTCTCGGATTGGTGTTATTGTAATCTTCAAGGGTCGTAGAATGCGCTGACACAGCATCGTTACTAGGTAGCAGTGACAACTCATTTTATGAGCTGTTTTTTCGGAAGGTTACCGAAGCCGTCGCCTGAAAAGGCGTCTAAAAAGTTTAGCGCCCGGGATTTCTATTGTCTATTGTTATAACTCGTTGTAATACGAGATCACATGCCTGTTGTCACACCAGGCAAATTTTGGAGCATGCAGTAATTGGAATCTCCAGAAAAATTTAAGAATTAGCAGAATTTTGGATCATCCAATTGAATTTCAATTTTTTAGAACTTAACAGCCGCAAACTCAAAGAACATATACTGTCGTTTTCGCCGAGGTATGTAGTGTACATAACCACCAAAAACAGTTCTTCACAAGATGGCGCTAGCGCGTACTCAATAAAAGTTTTGAACTCTAGTCCAGCGGCCCGCAAAATGTAACGCTTTGAATGAAGTTCCTTATTGTCACCTGATACAAGCAGTTTCTGATTTGAGTAGGTTATCAAAACGCAACTCATAAGTGACTCTTTACAGCTGAACCACGTTATTTGAGGTGGGATTAATTCGAAACGAATCAGGGTGCATAACAATGAAGGTATACCTCAATTTATATTTTGAACAGTAAAGCTCAGGTGGGGGGACGTAGAGTTAATCCTGTGCAGTGTATTTAAAAAGGACGCCTCTAGTGTCCTACAGAAGCATTGTCATTACTAGCCTCTCAGAATTCTCAGATTTAAGTCGTATTTTTGCTTTAGCACCTTGGGATGCCCTCATTTCTTAATTTCTTTTCTCCGATGCTTTAGCCAGAGGCCGATGTGCTACTGGTTCCTGTAATCTACTGTCTCCACCCTACCCAGCGGTATGCTATTCAACTCTGAAAAAAGCATTATTAAAGTTTTAGTAATTTTAAAAAATTATGGTCATAACTTATTATACAACCTAATATCTTGTGCTTTACAGAAACCCTTTGGATTTTACGTTGTAAATTGCAAAGATGATCGGTATTTTTGGGTGTTTCAGAACTGACCCATAATTCCCTTCCCAAGGATTGCAAAAATCAGTTAGACACTAATTAAAAATGGTTATGGGTACGCCTATCCCTAAATATGTGCAGACGGCTCCTTTTCCCACAACCCACTCACCATTATCCTTTCCATATGGAATCAAAATCGCTTGAAGTTGATATCCAAAACATTCGCTGCGAAATGGCTCGGAAACCAAAACCTCTCCCAGTCGATTCTTTCCTTTCCGCAGCACTTCATTGAATCCAGCAATCGGCCAGACCAACTGAACACTCTCCCGGCATAGGATGCTGTTGGTAGAGATCTTTTGCGTATGGAACATTGAAGTGATCTTGTCATCATCGTCAAGGACTTTGTTGATGACTCGGAACTTATCAATAACGGCGTCGTTGAGGACAGTCAAATGTTTGACTGGACGCTTACTTTCATGGTCATTGCCCTGAAAATTACAGGGGAATTTTTTTGATTCCAGAAACAGATTTTGATGGATTCAATTGAGAACATCGGCAATAAAACAAAAAAAATTACTGATTTGACATCAAAGTTCCTCTTACCTCAACATCGCATCCAAAAATGTAGAATCGGCACTTGTCCTTGTCAATAATCAAATCTCCGTCATCATTCAAGTTGGTCTCGATATTTCCACTCTCGATCTTTTTGCCATCGCTGACTCGATCCCTGACTTTCTGGACATGCCCATCATTGGCATCTTTGCCCTCTTCCTTCTCATCCTTGCCCCCACTTTCCTCTTTAACGTCTTTGTTCACTGATTTACCTATAAAAATTTATCCTAACGATAAGAGAGCGTCGTCATGCTTATATACTGTATGCTTACACAGCAATCCCTTATTTCCTTACCTTCTTTGGCTTTAGTCTTTGGCCTTTCCTCCGCCGGTTCAACAATCAAAATATCAGCGCCTTTGTTTGTCTTTGGCCTCTCCGATTTCGATGTTTTAACGCGATTTGGTTCAGGCACATCCTTAACCTCTTCAGACGCCGCATCCTTTGCAGCACCCTTAGCCGTCTTTGCATCAACGCGGTCAGACATTGTGCAAGATATCAGAATGGAAAAGAGGTCAAAATGTTGTCTTATCGTTCTGTTTGAAAAGGACTTTACAGCCATGGATACACCAGATCTCCTTGGTAATTCAGTGGGATATTTCCGTTTATTTTTATGAATTCAATGTTAATGCCAGTCCAAATTTTGATGTTTTTTAATCATATATCCGAAATAAACCTAATATAAGGGTCTTGCAAAAAACAGTTTAAGAAGCCGACGTATGCGTTATATAATATGTACATATATGTACTTTGAGCATAAGCAATAAGGGAGTCCAGTTTGCTTTCGATTTGCCAATATGTGAGAAAACAGTAGATCAAAGTAAACGTATGCAAAGCGTCCATTCCCAACTCTACAACGCTTGCTGACGTCATTATCTATTTCGTTATTATGTAAAATGTCACAAACAATACGAACTTCAAATTCCCGTAACTCATTCTAGTCTCCCATGTCTATTCTAGTTACGCCCATTAATTTTCGACTTGACTCAACATGCTCGAACCACATGCTGTTCTACTAATCGCAAATTGTCAATGCCCTGGGGCATTTAAATCTAACAAAGTCATAAAAAAATTTTACAAGGCATTATAGATTGCCTCTTCTATAAAAAATAAAACATTAAAGTTATAATTTTATTATAACAAATAGAAAATGCGTAATAAAAGGTATTACTAAACGATTCACTCAAAAGCGTGACCGTTATAAGCGAGAGAAACCTGTTTTGTGTGAGTGAAAGCGCAGTATTTCTTTATAATCCAACAGTAAAACGGATAAGATAAAGATAAAGTATATAGACACGGAAAAATACAAATGACCATAAAATATTAATATCTTAGTATGGAAAATAGACTGTAGACCCGCAAAGGTTAACAAAAATAAGTCCTAACGTCCATTTAGGCTCTACAAACTTTGAACAATCTCCCGTTCTAATGCCAATAACAGTTGAAAAGCTCTTGAATTCCCAGTTGGTCGACTTTGAAGGTATCTGGACAATACATCACATGCTTTGATTGCTTCAATCAAATTCGGAACTTCGATTTGCTCAAGAACAAGTTGATCGTTGGGTAAAGGGGTGGATTCGCAGATTTTCACTGCCAACTGAGGCTTTTTATCTTTATCTAGGACTTCTGTCTCGGTTCTTGTCTCAATTGTTGCCGTTGCTTTATCTTGAACTTCCTTTTCTGGGCCGTCTGAAGTTTCCGCGGGATCATCGAACAGCTCTTCCATTGTAATCGGCTCTGATTTTATTTCAACCACAGAATCCGAGCTCTCTTTGAATTCTCGAAGCCATTTAGATATCAGCAATTCTTCCGAAGAGTAGCTGGCTTCGGTCTCGTCGACTTTCCGCTTCCTTAACGGGACTGAACTGAGTTCGGGTTTTTGGGCAAGATCTGGATCAATTTCTCGATTGAGGGTCCCATTCTTGAAGAAGACACGGAATCGAGTCTTGAATCGTTGAAGCCATCCATTAGATGCTTGAAAATCGACATTCAAGTTTTTTGCAATTTCTGTGGCTTTCTCCTGAAATCATCAATATTTTTGAATTTTGTTTTTGTATTAAAAAAAGTCTTATAGAAAGCAAATATCACAGGATATAAAAAGTATCAATTTAATCATCATTCTCAAAGCTTCGTTGTTTTACCTGAATCAAAAGTCCTGGAAATTGAACTTCGGGGTCCTTCTCTCTCTCAGCACTGATCCAATCTAAGATGCCTTGTTCCACCTCCGGGTACTTTCCTTTCCTCAGTTTGGAACTTTTCCCTTGTCTTCCCAATGTCCACGCTTGTTCCACAATTTTTCTTTGATTCACTACTGATGAAATGGTCGATTTTGTAAGCCCATATTTTGCGGAGATTACCTTCAAAGGCAGCTTGGCATCGTGCATGTCAATTATAGCTTTCTTGGTCTCCAAGCTTATTCTGTGTCGACGTTTCTTTTCTTGGGGCTTTCGCGGGCTCTGGCCTTGCAAATTAGATAAATTCATCAATGAAGAAATGTCGATACTGAAGCCTGGACCGTCTTCATTCGAAGCGTTCTGTTCTTCACTCAATGACGGGGCTTCCAAAAGATTCGAGAGCATCTAAATATCAAAAATCGCATAAATTTAGGTAAAAAATACAAAAAGAATCGAAAATTTGTAGGGGAATTTCAAGTAAAAAATCATCGTGACGAGATGCCTCAAAGTTTATTATATTTTAACGAAGTGTCACATCAACTTCCGAGAGATTAGAGACGGTCGGAGATTAGCCGAAGCTGTCTAATCGTCTTAATTAGATGGTTCTTAGTCAAAAACATCATACGACTTATTCATAGTTATATGAAATCGTTAAGCTTTACATAAAAAATATAAGGCTTGACCCAGATCAACTGATATCGCTCTTTATAAAGTAGTAAAAAAGGTTTTGCCAATAAAATCAAGTTTTGCATACAAGTCCTTAAAGCAGAATACCCCTGAAAACATCTGTTTTGTCGATATATTTTCCCTCATAAACAAAAATTAAAAGGAAAACAACCAAAAATTGGGTAAATAAACGGTAGCATAGTACATTTTGCTCAGTGCCAAAACAACGGCTATAATGAAGATGCTGAGAGAGTGACAGAGTGATAAAACACATCTTTAAATCGTATAATCGTCGTTTTCCCATATAAAATATAGATTGGAAGTCCCGAGTAACAAAGCCTTCCTTGCTCTGCTTGCCTCTTTTAAAGGCGGGTGGTTGTTATAACGAGGTTCTCTCTTTTTTTAGTCGCTGCGCTCTCTGCGGGCCCTCTTCGCCGCGGGCCGCTCTCTCATCGGAATCTCCCCAAGCGACGCACCGTGCGGGCTGGGGCTCGCATATAAGCGCACGATTTGCGTTTTATTGCGTTTGGTTCGATAAAAGCGGGGGAAAACATGGATTTTGCTATAAACAAAACTGGCTGAGATTCCCGAAGAAGTCCAAGACAGTTCGTAAAGTCATTCAAATACTAAGAATGTATTTATAAGGGCGATAAATTAGGATCCGGCAGATTACACTTAAAAGTTTTGCTCGAGGAAAGATTAATTTTTGTAGGCTATCGTAAGAAAAGATGGATAAGAATGAAGGTTATGGAGGTAAGAATGACCTTTCATTACAACACATTGCCTTGTAAAGCCACAGTTTGCACAATTGGACACGACGAAAGTTAATCCAATAAAAAAGCTGCCGATGACATTACATGTATTGTGCAAAAACATCTTGGAACTATTTAACGATCTTTGGCTGTTTCTGCAAAGTGCGATCAAGGAATCGGAATGTGTTTGAAAAAATTAATCAAAATCTCTTCCAAATGTCATCAAAAACTGAGCGTCCACTTGTCCGCTTCCTGATCGGAGGCTCTTTAATGTCCTTTACCAGTTTGTTTTACATTTTTTTATTTTTATTTCAGTTGTAAACACCAGAAATTGATCATGAACGTTGCTAATTTCATAAAAACCCGGTGAATAAATCGTAGAACATTATATTGCACCTATTAATTTATAAAATTGTTTATTTTATTGTACTTTGCATTCATTTAATACATGTAACAAGAGCCAAGTTTTGGTTAACGATGGGTTCAATATGTCATGGGATTTATTGTGCACTTTGCTACGGTGGTTTCTCCCATGTTATTGGATTGAATTAATATTTTTTTTCTAATTTTATTTGTGGAACAAAATAATAAATTGAGTTTAATTTACAAGATTTATAAGCAGAGGCGGTAAGAGGTTTTGTAACTGACAAACTGCAGAGACACGCTATGTATTACATAATGTAATTTATTTCGTTATGCTTTTGTGCAGAGTTTACTTTTTTTAGCGGTGAGTAGCGGTAGTTTTTAAATCAGTTTGATAAATCAGCTTTCTACGGTAACCTAATTGTAAGATGACTATAAGGCGATTTAAAAAAAGATTTTCTTCGTTCCTCTATTTTTGGAAAATGACATTTTAGTTTTCTGTGAAAGCGATTTTTATGATTATCTATTTTTATCTATGCGTATTTTGAACAACCAAAGTCCATATCTCATCGTACTTTGGCAAGGAGATACTTGCAAGAAGCAATTATTGTATTAGAAGCGGATATCTTATACGAACTCTTGTGAAACGGATTACCGTATGTGCCAAGAATAACATGGCCACAAGAAATGCAAGAGATCTTGACTTGGCAACAAAGTAATGACCACCGTATCTAGGGGTATCTCTTCGAAGCGAGGACAGTTTAGGAGAGCAATTTCTATAATTACATTTAAAAATGGCTTATGTAAATCTGCCGCATGATTCTCTTGAGATAGTAGAGTGCAGTATATAAGGCGATGGGAGTATAGGTTGTAACAGCTCAGATATCTGGAGAATTTAGTTTTGATTGTCTGTTTTTCCCGCTCTACCGCTGAGCTCCTTGACGCTGATTATGAAGCGTGGGTTAATAAATTGAAATAATAACTTGACATGTGCGAAACCTTGAACCAATTATCCATGCACTTCCCTCAGTAATACATAACATGACAAAAAAATGTGACTGTTACAACTCGAAAGTTTTTATTTATGCTAAGCTCCAGTTTACCGCCATAGCGTCTGTCACGTTTTGATCTTTGTCTAAATGTTATGCCCCCATAAAACTGAGAATGCTCAGTTCCAATTGCTACCGCTTTATTTATGCCAAGGACAGCTGAAAATTGTGAATTGTTGCTGTTTGATTCCAAGGTTCGACTGGGTATCCACATGGTTGGCTTCCTTAGTTAAATGAAAAACTACAATAAAAGCTCGACGAAAAAACTTTCGGATGTCTGATTATGCCCTTTTAATAAAGGGTTATGGTTTGGCGGCTCAGAAATTAAAGTTGGTCGTTTTGCCTTTATAAATAAGATTTTAAAGCCCAAAAAAATTATCTTTTTGCATAGCTATTACCTCTTCGATTTACAAAATATTTTCCGCGTCTTTCTACCGCATCCACAGCTTTTTCGTCATTAAATTCTGTACTTGTATAATGTATTATACAACACGTATAATATGTATACTTCATGGGCTCTGAAATAGAAAATATTGTCCGGAAGACCAGACGGTATTCTACAGTGACATACCATGGTATGTCATTGATCACGTATATTACAATTACGGTACTTAATTCACTGTGGTCTTTGGTTATTGCGCCCTCTCGGACAAGTCATCTTTGAATCCGTTTTGAAATAACAAAATTTTGGAACAATATTGCGTAGCTGTTTACCATACCTCAGGCACCTGTCAGACGTTAAGAACCCGTAAGCCTTTGCTAGCGTTAAAAATTTTTAGTTACATTGTTTGAATTTCTATCTTTTCCTTCAGGCATTTTTAAAACTCGCAACGGCCAAAACACAGTCATATGAATTACTGAGAAATATGGTCACGTGGGCGAAATTTCCACCGTTAATTTGGCCACATTGCTGCAATTGAGTTGAACATCTAAACTTCTAAGTAGCCGTTAAATAAGTTTGCTTTATTTTTTATTGCGTAATGACCGTTACATGAATGTTGGATAATAAGTTATGACCATAATTTTCTAAAATTCCTAAAATTTTAATGATGCTTTTTTCAGAGTTGAATAGCATACCGCTGGGTAGGTTTTTTATTTTTTTTATAATCAGCGTCTTCTACGACCCTTGAAGATTACAATAACACCAATCCGAGACCAGCAGCGGCTGGCAGAGAGACGTGACTTGAGTTGTTTCGTACCCTGCCAAAATCGGGGCGCTTCCGAGTTTTTAGCAATAGAAAATCGCGGCTATGCCGTAAGACTTTGCAATGCGCACTAGATGAAACTTCGATAAGCCCTCTATTAGTCTATAAGTATGTTGAACAATGAAGGGATCTGAGCTAGGAAATAATCGACTTCAAACTTTTGCAAGAAAATGGTCATAACATATTATCCAACCTAATATAATATAATACAAAATATTTTGAAGATTTCTGAATTATCATAAAACAAAATAAAAATTCTGGGGTTTCAGAGCGATCTTTGCAGCTGCAATTTAAATCTTCAATAAAATTTGCCAACAAGGAGGTACGCATAATGCCGAGAGCCGGCAGAGGAAAGATCCGTTTTTGTCATAACTTGATTTTTTTAATTGGTAATTAATTTTTTGCCTACTAAAAACCGTTTTTCAATCTGCTTGCTAAAAATTCAGATGTGTTCACGAAAAACTGACCTTTCTTTTACCAGATTTTTATCAAACTTTGTACCATATGGAGTAACTTTCCTCCCATTACCTCTTGTCCTTTTCCTATTTGTATTTTTCCCAATCAGAAAACTTGCCATTTTCTTACAAATCCCCTTCTTAAAAACGCCCGTCACAGCATCTCACCGTATCACTTCTTTTTTTTACCGGCCAGTTTTCTGTTATTAATAATATGTACTTAAATTTATATCTAAATTTATCATCCAAACTTTTTACTCCCAAATAGTTTAGGACATAGACCAGAGGTGTTGATCATCCCTATAATGTTATTATGTCAGTGTGTGATGGTTCCTATAATGGTTAAGAATGTTCTGCATCAAATGTTTTATTAATAATTAGAAGTCTAAACCGGACCCTCTCCATTTGGACTGATATAAAAATGAGTTCAAATAACATAAATTGCATATAACTATTTTATATCCATACGACTTTGTGACTTGTTGTTTCAAGCATTACGGTAGGTAGATCCGTCTCAAAGGTCGAAATATAAGAGGGGCTATATATAATAATTAGAAAAACAAAAACAGCCAAGCACAATTTCAATTTAAAACTTTATGCGTTTTCAGATGTTTACGTTGAAAAAATATTTATTTATGGAGTATTATTTCTGTTTTGGGCAATCATTTATTTAGAAGCTTTTTATATTATTATAATATTTCAACTATTGGCTCCTTCTCGTCCAGAATTCAATTTTTTTGCCGGCTTCGTGGGCTGATAGTATGTAATACGTACAACTTCTGCAACATACCCCAAAAATGTATTTTTAAATTCTGCGATCAACATACAAATGTTGTCAGCAAACTTAACCTTTTTTCAATTTTCGCAAATGCAACAAATAGTATGTCATAATTTTTGATGCATTTTCCACAGCAAAGGTACGTATCCGGCCAATAAACTTCACTTTCAAGGTCGTTGTAAAATGACGCCTTGAACAATAATTTTCTTCGTTTTCAACCGTTTTGCAACATGTACGCCTGGCACGGTACAAAGTTTGTGGGCAACGATTTGAGGCATTTGCGGGGAGCCGATGATTGTAGCCAGTTTGGGCATGTGTGGACACGACATTTACGGGCACACAGGAGCCGGAATTTTCAGCAGATGGTTGGGAACGCATTATGTGCCCAATGTTTGAGGGTACACCTTAATTTTTTGCCCGACATTGTGGGCATAAAGTCATTGGTCATTTTTAAAGTTGTCGGGTCGAAACTGTCGAACCATGTAGAGCTATTAGCAATTTGTGAATCTGTTACCTAACCTTGTGTTCGTTTTTAGGCGTTGATCAGGCTTATTGTCAGGGTTTCTTAGGCGCTTACTCTAGACTTGTTCTTGCGTTTTCAAAAGCTCGTCTAGATGCTGCTACAAATCAACAAGACGGCGAGACACATTCGTTGACCGCCAATGTCGTGCGAATGATCGAAACCCAGACAACAAACTATGTATTATACGAACTGCCTACCAATGTCTGCCTCCAAATGATTTCCCGCAAGTATTGACGCGCCATTTACGAAAAAAAGGTTGTTTGATCCTTTGAGAACATAAAAAATATGTGACGTTCTCTATGAATTGTATAAACCAAAATGAGTAACGCATATAAAAGTTGTTGATGGAAAACCACAAAGATAGAAAATTTTTGTTTGTTGGTTAACAACAATCTTTTATCTCCGCCAGCAAATTGCTGCAATCTGTCATCAGCGTCGTATATCTGACCAATTTCATCATTGGATATTGTTTCTCACGTTTTCGTGTTTTTAATTATTCTGCACTTTCAATATCTTAAGTTCCGAGAAAACCAAACTTTGGAAAAATGCAAGTACAAGCGGCAGTGCATAATTTTATTTTACACCCTCTCTAAAGTCTCTGAAAATTTAGTAGAAACATTATGTTGCAGAAAAATTCAGCTAAACAAAACTGCTTTGCGCCGCTCAAAATGATTGTAATGGTGTTCTTTTTTGCCTTACGTCGCGCGCGATTCCCATTTTTCGCAGCGACAAATCAATTTTTTGGGATGCGACAGTATTTGGGGGACGAAAAAAAATCTCAGGACTTTTGGCACCGACTGATATCATTAACTACATTCGACCGAAGTACATAATGTAGTAATAGTATATGTACAAGAGAACATGTACACTAGGCTACAAGATCACGTTTGCGGTGTGAAACTGACACTTGAAAAGGTCGGTATTTGTTTTTTCTTTCACATGAATAATACAATATTGCGTGTCGCGTATCGACTGGTTTACCTTATAGAGTATATGCCATTGCGGGCTTCTGTAACAGTTTTACAATTGAGGTATTAATATAATTCTAGTTTTAACACTTTTGAACCCACCCACTTTGAATAAAATTTTGAGTTGCTTTTCAATTACTCACTTACGACCGCATAGAAAAGTATGGGAGAGTTGCCACTGATCCACTGGCTAAATGACACAATTGCCTGTGCTCTTGGCTTTACTTTGAATGTTTTCCTTGTCATCGCCATATTAAAGACCTCTACGGACAAATTCAGATCCTATTCTTATCTTGTTTTGACTGGAGCGGTATTTGATATTATCTTTTCAACTTTCGAATGGATCAGTTTGCATGTAAGTTGATTCAAAACGTTGTTGTCAAGAGCGGTGATTCTGACGGATATTGTGATTTTAGCAACTTCTGATCAAAAATGGCATCATGTATGTTATGCCCCATGGCTTGGAATTCAATTTGTTCAAGTACTTTGGATATCACCTAATGATTGCGCATTGTTTTGTGGGAATGCATGGATTGTGGATATTGCCGGCTCATTATCACTATCGATATGTGATTATTACAAAGTGAGGGATGCCATAAGAATTCTTGGCTTCTTTTTTGGCCCCAAAAAAGACCCCCCACAGTTTCGCCTATCGGACGAGAAATCTTGTATCTTTTGCTGAGACCCGAATACATATTTGTTAAATTTTTTATCCCAGCATTTGTTATCCCAGCCTTTCCAAGTTACTTCAAAATTCATTTCAGACCCTCAGCACCAGTCACGGTCCTCCTTCGCAACCTTCTAATTACGTCAACCACAGCTCTTTGCATGGGTGCCGTAGCCGTCATTGGGGTTAATCAAGCAATGGCCAGAGGCTTTGACTATTACTTATCTCAAATTGATGAGGAATGGTTTGATCAGAACGGAAATAGTCACTTTTTATACGCCATGGACTTTGTAAGTGGAACTTTGAACGTTCAAACACAATGTATAACTAATGCAACATCAGAGTCCACAAAGTTCAATTAAGCCCTCAGGGTTTGCTTAGTATCGAAAATAATTTTTTTAGAGAGATTCTGGAACTTTGGCCTTTTTCTTTGTCAGCTTTGGAATAACAACAGTTTGTTTTGGCATTAGTATTTACTACGCGTACAAGGCTTGGAAATTTATTGTAAAATCAGGCGGTGAAAGAAGCAAACGGACGACTCGATTACAAGAACAGTTCACAAAAAGTTTGTTGGCTCAGGTATAACTTTTTTTATCATAATAACCAAATGAAACTACAAAAAAATAACGTGGTAACACATGTGTGTATCCAATTTGAAGTATTACACATTTTGTTTTCTTCATTTTAAATTACATTTACAGACCATAAACGCCGTCATCTTCGCGGTGATGCCCATCTCCGTCATGTGTCTATCCATGCAATTCAAGCTCAATTGCAAGTGGTCTGGTCTCTGGGTGATGTCGGTGATTAGTTGGTTAGCGGCGGCCAACGCTATCCTGACCTTGATTATCATCAAAACTTATCGGAAGTATGCGCTGAAAGTACTCGGCCTCGAGAGCTTTGCCACAAGATGGGGATTGAGCAAGACAGAGAACAGTTTTACCGGGAAACCATCGAGAACAGCGCCGATCTCTCAGTTGTCCACGAATCACAGTGGATCGCGTCAAGCAACTGACTGAGGAACACGTTTTACAAAACATACATGTATTGAAATTACGATCTCAAAAAATTTTATTCGAATTTATTATAACTTTGGTGTTCGGGGGGTTGCAATAAATTGCCCGTCTTTTAAAAAGACAATGTTGTGAGCAATGGTTGATAAGCAGTAGGCAACAATGACGCATGTTTTGTCTTTGACAACCTCCATCAACGCTTTCTGTATCTCTTTTTCGGTAACTGAGTCCAGAGAAGAGGTAGCCTGAAGCATGAATACATTTTCTTGTTGCATTTTCTTTTGAAAGCTGCATTTTTTATGGCCAGCGACCTCTTACCTCATCTAAAAATAAATATTTTGGATTCTTCAGAGCAGCTTTTACAATCGACACTCGCTGCCGTTCTCCGCCGTTTTTTGACGCTATTGTCATCGTTGTTGAGACTTGACATTGCGGAGTTTCAAATGGTAATTTGCACATTTTACTTTGCAATTAAAGGTATGGAGAATTGAACAAATGAGGGTGGAGGAAATTGCTCTAGTCATCATATTTAATAGTTCGTTTATTTGCTTTTTAATTTATCACAATTTGTAAAATGCAATATAAATAAAATTAAGTAAAAATATTTAGAAAGCCTGAATGGATCTTTGTGGTGATCCGTTACAATCTTTGTATCAATCTATGCTGAATTTCGTTAATTTTTTCCTTTAAATTTATACGCCCAGGCCATTTATAGCATTTTTGATAATTTCTCTTGCGAAGCCTCATTACTCCCGTTTCCAAACTCAGATCTCGGTCGTTTCCGATTCCTATGCCTCAAATCGAATATGTCGACAAGTTGGATAGACAAGTCAAAGATCTGCTTGCTCTCGTCCACCTTCTTTTATTTCTTTTTCTCCTCTCAATGGTCTTGGGATACGCAAACCTTGGAATGAGAATGCATCGCCGATTGCAGGATTACAAACGAAAAGTAGCAAGTGTTTTCCGGGTTGCTTTTAATGTCAGGTAGTTTCATATTTCCATTTTCAGGTCAAGCGAGGGAATGATCCAAGAATGATTGTTATCCATCGAATCGAAGGAGCCAACCTATCCGGAAGCGAAAGGTCGTCAAAGAAAAAGAAGGGGCAAAAAGAGGAAAGGATCAAGGTTCAGAAGAAAATCTTCTTTGAGAGTGATACCAATACGAATAATTAGCTCTGCATAAACTCTCAATTTTTATCTGTTTTTGTTTTTACAATTTTAAAATCTTCCCCCAAAATATTTGACTCCACATGGCCCTTTCAGGCGTTCCACTCCACCCGCCGCCTATTACAACCTATTCGACAGTTATTTTAATTGTTTGTTGCACCTTTTTTCGTTGTTTAAGCGACCTGTCAAACTAAAAAATTCCAAAGTATTTTTTGTGTTTTGCGCTTTGCCCATCATCGTGTCCTTCACTTATTCTTTGTAATATGTAAGATTAATTATTCTTTTTTTGTAATATTGATAAAGCCAAGGAAGGACCCGGTAACACATTAATGGGAAAATAAATGCTCTGCTCCTCCAAACGATTCCACAGGCAATTCCCCTAGATAATTATGGGACAAACTCCCAATATATTTCACACAAATAACCCACACGAATAAATGCCAACACTATTTATCTGCACAAATCAATCACAATCAAAAACCCAAACAAGCCAGTATCAAAAGATAGTATCTTCGTCCAACGGATCTCTGACGGCCAACCGCACGTTCAGACTCCTCCGTTCCAACCGTTCTATCCTCTTGACCGTCCAAGGTTTCCCAAAATCCTCCGTGGCTGGGCGCAGGTTGGCTCCGAATGTTGCTGAGTCGGCTGGGGTCTCACACATTTCCCTCAAAAAAATTCTGAGACATAAACTAGAAAAAATAATGAAAAAGTCGGCCAAAAAACCCAGTCAACTTTTGAATTTTGCACGAAAATTACGTAGTTCAAAATTTTTTGTATGAAAAAAGACGAGAGACAGCTATGACTTGCTTGCTTATCAGGGCTTATGTATTATGTTGGGCAAAAGACGACAGAAACCTTGAAGGAAGAACAAAAAAGAGCGGCTTTTTTCAAACTTTGAAAATACAACTTTTGTCTTTCTCTTCTCAATTAGCTGGAGAATCAGTGCTTTGTGTATAAAAAGGGAAGAGAACATTTGAAGGTTCATTTATTCGAGAGGAAATCTCTTGGTTTCATGGATAAGGTAAGAGTTTTGCAAATATAAATTGTTTCTTAGCGTAGTCTAGGTATTGAAAAAATGAGATGCTCAGGCCATCTCTTCATCTCCTTCAGGGGACAAATTTATGGACGGTTCAGATCAAGTACGCAAATTTTTTAGAAAACATTAATGCGCACCTCAAATACGATCCAGGCTAAAGCTTCGTTCCTAAAAGCTTTCTTATTCAAGCTTTTATTTTTAACCCATAAATTTTTCAGCATCGAACTCCCGGTTACTTCGGTCCAGGTGACTATCACCCGGATGACCCAACCATCTACCCATTTACCATTGACATCAGCAGCACGGTCCTCGATGACCTAAAAGACCGTCTCCGTAAATCGAGAATTACTCATTCTCAAATCGAAGAGTGTCAGGACTTTGAATACGGATTTAATTTGACTATCCTGAACAAATATTTGGACTATTGGAGGGATCAATACGACTGGAGGGAGGCAGAGAGAGAACTTAACAGCTTCCCGAATTTTAAAACAGAGATTGAAGGGCTGAAAATACATTTCATTCATTCAAAACCACCTGCAGGATATGACAGAGTTGTCCCAATTTTGGCATCTCATGGGTGGCCTGGAAGTATTCATGAGTTCCACAGGGTGATTCCAATCCTGACTGACCCCAAAAGCCATGGAATTCAGACTGACATCGCTTTTGAGGTGGTTTGTCCGAGTATTCCTGGATATGGATTTTCAGATTCTCCGTCGAAAAAAGGTGAGATATAGTCGAGGAATGCGGTTAGAGCGTCTCGAGTTCTCTTCAGACTTTCCAGTCAAATGATGCCTTGATATCCATTCATAAAAAATGTCATCAAGACGGTTTGATGTTCCCTGCCATAAAATTAATATCCCTCAAACTTACTCAAGCATCTTTCAGGTTGTGACCAGATCTCCGTAGCCCGCATCTACAACACTCTGATGACGCGGCTCGGTTATCAACGTTACTTTGTTCAAGGAGGAGATTGGGGTTCAACTTTGGTTGGGCTTGTCTCTCGCATCTTCCCAGAACGAGTAATCGGATGTCATCTGAATATGATGACGTCATCCAATAAAGGATTTCTCTTCAGAGCTGTCCTTGGCTCGATTGCTCCTAGAATGATGTTCGCGGATTCTGAATTCCACACATATACAGTGAAGAACATGATCAGGCTCTTCTTCAAGAGCGGTGGATACTTTCTGTTGCAAGGAAATACCCCGGATACTATTGGTATGGGATCTTATCACATTAATAAAAAAATGTTCCAATATCAAGTATGACACCAGCGCTTTTTAGGAATTGCTTTGAACGACTCGCCAATCGGGCTAATGGCTTGGATTTTGGAGAAATTTGTTGGAGGAACCAACATGACGTGGGCAAAGACAGCTGATGGAAATCTGGAGAGGAAATACACCACGCATGATCTCATTACAAATCTCATGATCTACTGGGTGAATGGAAACGCTCTTCAGGCTGGAAGGTTCTACAAAGAAATGCTGCAATCTCCAGAAACCAAAAGGTTAACAAAGTAAGTGCCTTCTAGATATAACCCCAATTTTTCAACAAACGGCTACCTAATGTCTAAATATTGCTTTCCAAATTTCAGTGAGTACATCAAAGTCCCAACTGGCTATGCTGCGTGTTTGAACGACGCAATTCCAGCCTTGCCAAAGGAATTGGCCAAAAAGATCGCGAACATACAACATTACTCCATTTTACATGACGTCGGGCATTTCGCTGCATTCGAAGAGCCGGAATTATTGGCCAAGGATGTTTTTAAATTTGCATCGACACTCGCATAAGATACCTCCGAATCTTCCATATCTCTTACACTACTTTCACATGCTCTGTTTTTTATTTAAATTTGAATTTTTGAAAGTTATGGAAAATAAAAATACTTTTTGACTTTTGTACTTTTGTACTTTTTGAAAAATTGTGACAAACTCCCCCACCCCTTTCATTTTTATAATTTCCTCCGGGGATGACGCAAATTGCCATTTGAAAATTGAAGGATGCGTTTTCACGGCGATAACAACTGGTATAGTTCAAGAAAACGAACCTTTTCTTCCGATATTGACTCATTCAGGCAATAAAGCAAACCATTCGCGAAAAAACATTCTAAATATCTGCCCCCGGCACTTACCGAAACGCGTTCAAATAATGAAAATATTTTTAGCCACAAAGATCTCGTGGAAAAGAACGGGTTGTACGCCGAAATGTGGAGTCTCCAACAAGGTGCTGGTCTCAAGCATTAAACGGCCGGATGTTGAAACTTCAATAGTAATAAACTACGGGTTCAACTTTCTATCTACCGTTTTAATTGTATTTTTCGATATTTTGGTCATTATATTCTATGTAAATATTCTATAATTTTCTTTATAATACACAGGGAACTCAAAATCACTTATAAAAACTTTTATTTACTTATAAAAACTTCAAGTTTTTATAAGTAAATAAAAGTTCTTATAAGTGATTTTCAAATCACTTATAGGTAATTTTTATTTTCGGCGCCCGGGAAATTCACTTATAGATAATTATAAATACTTATAGGTAACAGAAAATTATGCACAGTGCAGGATAGATAAAAATTTATTCAAACAAAGTAAAAAACAACTTGACTCTGATATATTACCGGTTACACATGTGGTTAGCGCATCTTCTGTGTCCTGACGGGGCTAACTTGCTTCTGTGCGGATTTTCTATGGGCACTCCTGCGGCTAGATGCACTGAAAATAGTCAAAGATAAAGAAAAAGTAAATAAAATTTTCGGAGATAGTTTATTATGAGATCTCATTGAACTCATTTTTTGTGCTTTTCCATCCCAAAAATTAGTTTGAGGTTCAGAAATTTAGCAATGAGATTTCGAGACATCAAGTTTTTCATGTTGTACTAGGTCCAGGTGAATATTATCAACATACCTGAGGCATCCGTGAGTCATTTTTTCCAGACATTGTGTGCACGTTGCCCATTTACTTCCTCCACGAACATTTTGTGATTATCTGAAATAGTGGGTTCACCTGGACCTAGTACAACATAAGAAAACTATGTCTTGAAAAGTTTCTGGCCTTCTGATATGTGGAAGCAGTTTAAAAAACCTACCAAAATCGAGGAAAGAGTTCTTCATCCAAATTCTTGATTGATCATGCTTGTTTCTAGATCTTCCCAGGCTGTCTGCTCTTCCATTTTGACATGTTTCCTAATCGGGAAGTTTCTTATGTTCCGGATTTTTCATCTACCCACTTTTTACAGTCCTGTAAATGAAAAAAACTCACTAGAAACCCCTTACCTTGTTCCATCCAACGTTTAAATACCCTCTTTGACCAGTACTGCTACGAAAAACTTAGAATTTCTAAGTCTCGCCCATGCGTTCAAAAAGCCAAAAGCGTCTTTGGCGCTCAACTGTTTTCTTTTCGGAGTCCTTATTGGTAATTATAAGTAAATAAAAGTTCTTATAAGTAAATAAAATTTCTTATAAGTAAATGAAAATAGGCTCCGCCTTTTTTTAACTTATAAGTGAATTTTTGGGAAATATTTTTACCTATAAGTAAATAAAAGTTTTTATAAGTAAAAACGAATCCCCTGTGTAAATATTACCTCCGCAAATTGATAGGATTTTTGCTGAAAATTGAAAATAAATTATAAATTATCTTCGAAAGCGGCAAAAAAAATTAAAAATCCATTGCGCAACCAAAAATTAACAGACAATTTGAAATTTCTCGAAGATTGCAGAAATTACATATCAGACGATTTTGAGCAGAAAAAAATCAAAATAGTACAGAAAATCCATGAAAATCTCACAGAAATTAAAAACGCACTTACCTACCTTAATATTACCTCGGTAAAGGATTGTGAATTCCCTTGAATTTCTTTAATCATCATCTTCAACTTCAATTATAATGGCTTCAACCAAGACCTCCGCTGTTTCCCAGAAAGCCCAGAAACGTCCTCTCTCATTTGAAGAGCAACTTTTGGCGGCTGATCAGGTAAGCAATGTTTTTTAATTTCTTTTTTGACTCTTTCGAATATTCCAAAAATTTTAAAATTCACCAGTAACAATCAGTAAACCTATGATTTAGTTTATTATTTCACTTTTATATGCCATTTGGAAATTTGTTTTGATGATAACTCAGTTTTGAATATTTATTCATTTTCAGGCTATTCTCAAGAAAGCCAAGGCCATCAAGAAGGTTACTGTAGCCTGTACCATACCCGCTACAGTCAGCTCCAAATGTAGTCAACCCCCAGAAGTCAAAGGTAACCAATTTTTATATTAATCTTGGCTCAAACAATCTTTTAAAAAATAAATTCTTTTTGATTATCTAATTTTCAGACACCTTCCATGACCCCACTACTGGGCGCAAAAGGGGCCACTGTGCAGGGCTTGGCCAACCCACATCTTCAAAACCTCGAGTTTCCTTAAGGGACCGCACTGTGCGGGAACTGGAAATGCTCTTCAGTTTCAACAAGGACCTCAGGGAGAAGGAAGATCAAGTCTGGGAAAGCGTTACCCGGCGAGAATTTGGTCTGAAATTGGAGAAGAAACCGGACGAGTCATGGTACGAGTACTTTAAGGTAAGTAAAATGTTTTTAATTTTTTAAAATATCTTTTGATGACTTAAAGTAAACAAGTTAATTTAAATATTTTCTAGCGTACCGAGACCGCGGAAGAGGCCAGATTAGCTGATTTGGCGGCTCGAATTTCCGCCAAACAAATTCAAAAGCAGGCCAAAGAAAAAAAGACCCTCAAGTGTTCGGAGGTCCGGCCGATTGCAAGAAGAAGCTCATCCCACCAATCAAGGGCTGCTCCATCAACCGTCGGGAGCCTCGAGAAGAAGGCAGTCGTCAAGCCAGAAAAGAAAAACGGGCCGACTCCATTGATGAAGAAGGCGATGAAAATGGCAAAAGCGATGAGAAGATGAACTCTAATGTCTTCATTGTTTTTTTTTATTTTTACTAATATACAAATTTTAATTTACAAATTGTTAATTTCATAATTATTTCCTTTTTTATATTAGATTTTTAATAAATTTAAAAACAAGTCATCACGAATTTTTTAACAGAACTGTTAAATATTCATTTAGTTTCGTTATGACCTTCCCAATTAAGAGATAAAAAAAAGTAATCATACTTTTTAATTGCGGCTCCCCATCTTACTATACAATTTATTAATAAAAAATAAGTTAATAGTAGATAAATATGGATATAAAAATTGTAGTTTGTGATAAGAATGTGAATTTATAGAGTGAGATAAGGCATAACTTGGACATTGGCCAAAAAATGTATCTGAAATCACAATAAATGCGAGGTTTGGTGGTCTCAAACAATGTTAGTAACATTTAAATGCCAAAAAAAATGACAAAATATACTATAATAAGAATAATAGTTACCATTTCGACGTATAGGCACAAAAATAATTGGCAAACGATCAAAAAATAAATAAATTGTGTAAATTGCAGTCTTTGGTAATGCGTAGATGTAAAATGAAGTAAAAAACATCGAAAATAATATAAAAATTGGTGTAAAAACAATAAAGTTTGTGTTCCCATGTTCTTCAGTTAATCCTTGCCGCTGCCATTTGCCGAATTGGGGCCAAAGATCTCCGGTCGGACCTTCTTCTAACAATCTGCGCGTTCCTTGCTTGGACAGGATCTGCTGTAAAAGCGGCGGCCTGCGGCTTGGCCGATCTCCATTCCATTTTGATCTCGTCTTTGGTGTAGGTGACATCTTCATTCTTGTTCCTCTTTCTGTATTTGGTGCTGGCAATGAAAGCCAATTTTACAATTGACAGAACAGCACTTGTCAAGTTTTTGGCATTGTGAATGAGGGAGAGAACAGAGTCAAGGCCGCTGACCTGCGCTTCGTTCTCCACCATTTTGATTTCAGCTTTGACCTAAAATAACAATGATCATTCATAAAACGATCCAAAAATATGCAAAATCACCGAAATTATATCGCACTTAACCCCAAAAATAATTTTTTTCGAAATCGTGCATATTTATCCAAGTCACATTTATTTTCTAACCAAAATCACTGTCAAGACTAAAACAACACATTAACCTTCAAAACATCCCAAATATGACAAAAAATTGTGCTAAACGTGGAATCAAAATTGATAATCTTCCAAAAGTGTAGCCAACTAATCTGAAGGCTACAAATTCACCGTTCAAAAAACCCGACTTCCCTCCAAAAGCACTTACTCGACTAGTCAAACTCAGTTGATGACAAAACAAGATGCTCTTCTGTATATAAGAATACAAATCATTCTTCGTTTGACTCTCCACACATTCCTTTCCAATACTATCCGCAATCTTTTCCAGCTCTCTTCCTCTCTCCGAGATCTCCTTGGCAGCATTAATCACATCCATAGTGGTCTTAAAAGGCCCCCTTCCATTAGTAAAATCAGTCATATCATTCATAATCTTCAGCATTTTCTTCGCCAATGAAATCAAATCATTGCTTTCTTCATCCCACTTCGAAACTTCATAAACCAAGTTCTGCTGGACCATTTTATAGACCGACAAGTGCTTCTTGATTTCACGTTTGGTCTCCTCGGGGAGATGGCGCATGATTCTTTGTTGATTTTCGGCGTCTCCGTCCGACACTTGACTTCTTTGATCTCCGACGGCCGTAGTTCCTCCATCTTAACACAAAAATTAATCCAAAATTAAAATCGACCTACCTTCTTCATACTCATTGTCAGAATCAACATCCTCAGGGTTTCTATTCAACAACAAAGCATGTCTTATATTTACCACAGCTCCATGTACCAGATCGCACGCCGAGATCAATTCATCGACGCATTTTTCTTTTTCATCCGAGTCATTTGCCTCCATATTGGCTACTCGGGCCACCAGAGCGGATGCGTCTTCCTCGAATGCCGGCATCACTAAAAATTTTGTCATCAAAGCAATTTTTACAAAAAATCTTACCCTTTCTCAACTGAGTGGTTGCTTTTCCAAGATTCTCAGTAAATGTGGTGATTGGAAGCTCTTCCAAGGCTGAATCGACCATATCCGTCACCCTAATGCATCTTCCTCTTATAGTTCCGACCACTCGATCCAAATACTCCGCATCCACTCTTTCGATGGCCTAAAGGGAAAAATGAAATCCAAAAAATCTAAACTCACCCCAAATCCATTATTCATGTCATCAATGATGTGCTGCTCAGTAACTGCCAACATGTCATCCATCGCAATCAAGGAATCCATCGCCGTTTTTAGAGCATGAGCTCTTTCTCTCCATAAATCCTTGAATTGATGGAGATTCTGGACGGCCGGATCGTCGGCGGTTCGATTCGGCTTTAACGAGACCAATATGGCGGCGTTTATCACTTGCGGAGTCACATCTCTGAGCAAAAACGCCGAGTATTTCAGCATTCCCACGCCTTCTGGATCTGGGGACATTTTGCAAACCAATTCCGCGACTGTGGCCATGTTTTCCGAATGTACTTTGAAGATCTCCGCGTTGTCAATAGTCTCTTCTCTACGGCCATTCAATGCTGAATCAATCAGAAATTGCAGAGGAGTGTCCAGAGTGCTGAAAGTATCAGACACTTGGTCAACAATCGCTCTTCTCAAATGTCTCCGTAGATCCTTGAGATTGTGATCCAAATGAACTGAGGCCATGTCCAAATCTTCGGTGGAATCGCCTTGTCGATACTTTTCATATTCAGTGAGGAGGTCTTGAAGAGCTTGACGAAGGTTATTCGCACCTTGTACAATGTCTTGACGACGTTTTGGACGAGTCATTGGTTGATCGGCAACGTCGGCCAACATCACCACAATACGTTCGAGGAGTTCTTCGAGCTTTTTGCGATGCTCATGCTTGCGATACTGGTTGGGATCGATGACCACACTAGCCTGGAAGACAAAAATACACTATTTTAGGTAACAACAGAAAAATTAATATGCTAAAAAAGGTATAAAATCTTGAAAAAATATTATCTAAGAAACTAAAAATGACAAAAACTATATTATTTTAGGTATAAAACTCACTCTGAACGTCTCCAACCCATCAATAAGTTGATCCAAATTTGCTCCCAAGCTCAGACCGGCTCTTCTATTCGGAGTTTGTCCGTTCAAAACTGCCACAATCCCTTCAAGTCCAGATTGCAGATTTCCGAAGGCAAATTTCTTATTTTCCTCGATTTCGGCCGAATTCTTGTTCGTGAAAGAAGCTAATGAAGAGGTCACCATAATGGGAACACTTCTCTTGACGAGATGCAATGCAGCCTGGAGATTGTCCCGGTCATCTTGATCACGAGATTTCTCAAGTCTTCGGCGAGTTACCTCGATCAAATCATCGATATCCACTTCCAATTTCTTGGTCGTTTGGATAAATGTCTCCTTTGTTGGGGCTTTCTGAGCATTTTCAAGCCGAAGATAGACCTGAAATCGTGTCAGTCAGCCTTCAAATTAATCAGCAGCATAAAGATTCAGAATTTTACCTAAATTCTGAGGTCGAAATAAAAACTACTTACGGTATTAACCCTTTCTTTGACATTATTAACTTCCACCAAGTCCGCAGCAAGGAGAAGTTCAGCTAACGCTTTTATAAAATCTTCTGCAACAGCAACCAACTGTCGACGGACTTCAATTTGACTTGTGTCTTCTGCAAAGACCTGCCCGACTTTAAGAACATCGTTGGCTGAAACATAAATAATATAATTTCTTCCTAAATACAGAACAAAAAAATTTTTAATAACAAACCTGTAGTTTCAACTCCTTTCAGAGCATTGTCAAGGTCTTGAGCCGACTCTTTTGTGATGTGTTTGGCCTTCTTCTCGATCAGTTGATCTGTATGCTTCAATAAAAATTCTGTTTTTGTCTGAACTGCATGTAGTAACTGCTTGGCACTGACTTCCTTCGATCCACTCGGTTGGAAACCATGTTTTAATTGCAGAACCTAAACGAAAAACAGTATTACTCATCCTAAAAGTCAACTTACAGCATTAATATAAGGTGCCAGATATCGATGAAGGGTTTCTGTTCTTATTCTGGCCTTGATCGCTCGAATGTCTTGATCCACGTCCATTCTGGAGCCCACAGGGACCGGTCGAGTCATCTGCCGTCTACAAAAGAGTTCTACAAAAAAGATCCGAGATGCGCGTCAGACTCGTCCCGAACGAGTCAAGTGTTTCCCCGAAGAAGAGAATGTCCGTGATTCATCAAAAGAAAGCTCCCGGTCACTGTTTGGAGGTCGAGAAGAGTGGGAACCCGCCTCGAGAATGAGGAATGGACCTCGCCCGCGATTTATGTGACAAATAGTTTTAGATTTATCGTTGTTTGCCCATTAATTTGGCCTTTTCGGAGGCCAACAGTTGGAAACGGAAGAAAAGTGAGATCATCGGGACCGGGAGGAAGTTTTTTGATGGACGTTATCAGTGAGAAGATGCATTATTTTACTCATGACAAACATTAAAACTTTGTTTTCAACAATTCGATGTAATAATAAACGAAACTTTTTATAAGGAAATATTCGATTTCTGCATGTGTCTTGCGGTTTAAAAGATTTCGGAAACCGGATTATGCGCAATGAATTATGGAGTGATGGAAGTCATGATAATTATGTCAAATCCGAGCAGCGAATTTTTAAAATTTAAAAAAAGCGAGCCCTCGCGGAAAATCAAGTAATGTACAATTCAAGTTATATTTATATTATACAAGGCACCAAAATAAGCTAAGAAAACGTAAAATCAAGCCGTCTTTTTTATGAAAGAATTTTATTTACCTCGCAAAATCGCGATTGTAATCGCTGGTCGCATAGGAGATTTTACGTAAAAAGCGCGATCTGTTGAAGACCATCACCCGCTGGCATGGATAATATCGTCGTTTTTCTCAAGGTTTACCCGTTTATTAACTTCTTACGCTATGGTATCATGAATCACACAGTATTAAGATATTTTCTGTGGAATCTCGTAGTCGAATATGATGTAGTCATGGATAAACATAGCCATGAAAATATTGTATAGGGTCTCGTCTCGTAATAGCCGAGATTTTGCATCTTCAGCTCGTTGTTTAACAATCTCATGTCGTCGATCTCGGAGTTTAGTCTTCTTAGCATTAAGTGGAGTTAGAATGTGTTTGTAGATAAAATCTATCTTCTCTTGAGGGACTTTTCTGGCCGTCAACATTATCCTAAACCACTTATGAAAGGCCTCCTTTCCTTTTCGGTTTGATGTGTGCTTGATTACATTGTAGTCGCTGAGGTGGTGTTCAAAATCGCAGAACCTGAAATGACGAGGAGGTAGAAATTTATGAGATATTAGCCATGTTTCATTACTGTAAAAATAATGTTTTTCCATAATGTTTTTACAGTACTCTGCTTACCAATTCTGAGGAAATGTGTGTTGATCTTCATACGACAACAGAGTCATTCCTCCTTTTGTATATAGCATTGCTCGTTTATATTGTTCTTTAAGGAAGCATTCCAAGTCTTCTCCACACCCATAACAGAGCTCTCCTCCTCCATAAAGTATACTATCTCTCTCCAATTCGGTCCGTTCTCTATAAACATATACGACTACTGAGTCACTCATGACCTACTCTATGCACTTGTTAACCCAAGCACTGGTAAATCGATCCAGCGGATCTCTTATAGCCACATTCATACTCCACCCCTTGAGATCTTCGTTGGTCACTCTTAAATTGTGTTGAAAAGTGTATAAACTGTCAAAATCGTTGACATGGTGCGTTGCACTGGAAAATAGAAAGAGCATGGGTCTCCTTGGGACCGTATTTTACCTTATTCCGCGGCTGTTATTCCAATCAAACCGTTTGTAAGCCGCTGGATCCGTTAAATACGCATAAATCATCGTAGTAATTGTACTCATGCACTTGGGCATAATGCAATTCATCATTTTATAGTCTTTGGCAATCTAAATTACCTGAATTATTAGTGTGGTAGAATAAAGAACACCGTTCAGTAGTCTATTTTACCGTAGTGCGTCAAAACGACTTACAGCACTCTACTTACAACAATTTTACGGACGAAAGCTTCGTTCATTTTGACAAACCTCTCCGCGCAAACACCTCGATTCGCCATACAGTAACCACTCCACTCATCTTTAGTCATCAACGTCCTATTTTTCAGATTTTCCATGACATGACTGATATCATTGCCGTCAAAATACTTTTGTGACCAGTTTAACGTCCCCAACTTGCAACTTATAACCGAAAATGTTAAGATCAACACAAGTCCTGGAACTTTAGAGGTCCCAGGTAGCCAGTAGAGTCTGTTACTCATCCTCGATTCGAGAGTCAATTAACGCATTGCTTGAGGTTCTTACACCAAACCAGTTTTCATTCGCTTAGCGGTCACGTCGAATCTGTCCTATCAGCAATGTGGATCTCGTCGCCGTCACTGCAGTCGTTTGCATATTGACTGAATTCGGGGTGCTTGTTTGTTTATTATTATACTTTCATCTGAAGCGTACTTCCTGTTCACCTCTGAGGAATCTTCTCTGTATTACGGGAAATATTACTAATGAGAAACTGGAAATCCCGGACTCATCTATTGTGAAAACAGACGATTAGAGAATCGAAAAGCCTAGTTTTCCCTTTTTTGGTTAACAGCATTCCGGTTAATTTAAGTGTCCAGTTTTTTATTTTTTAAGAAAAGAGATCTCGTTCGTTGGGACTAGGATGATTGTACTCGAATTGGCGGGTATTTTATCCTCTTCTAGCGCTTCTTGGCGGTGTTCTGGCAGGGGTTCGGGCTGTGGCGCAATTGGCACTGTTTTCCACGCTATTGGCGGTGCGCAGAGTTAAGTTGGCCTCTTTGGTATCCTCGGAATTGGCTGAGGCGTCCATAGAGGAGTTGTAATCCTGAAAAACACTTGTCATCTTTGTGCATTTTCCTAGACTGGGCTCGCTAAATTAACGAAAAGTATCTTCCTTTACCTTGTTCACGTCCTCCAACATTTGTCTGAGCTCACCGGCAGTCGGACGGGTGTTTGGATTATGAGCCCAGGCCTGTTTCATGATGGTGGCCATGGAATCAGGCATCAAATCAGGGGTGCTCATTCTGTACCCATTCACGACCTGCTCCTTTACCGTAATCGCCTTCCAACTGGAATACGGAGAACGATATGGGCACACAAAGAGTTCCCAGATCATGATGCCGAAAGCGTACACATCAGTGCAGAATTTGGTCTCTCCCGTTCTCCAGACCTCGGGCGCCAGCCATCTGACATTTTGGGGCTTGCTGAGGTCCACCTTGTAGATGCTGGTGGCTCTGCACATGCCAAAATCCGCCAACTTGAGAGTATCACCGCTGAGGAGACAGTTGCGAGTGGCAATGTCTCGATGGATGCACCTCTTCATATGAAGATACTCCATTCCTCTGGCCGCTTGAGTGGCCAAATCCACTCGGCGGGCGACGGAAACGGCCGATCCTTTTTTTCTCAGCAGATCTTCCACAGATCCATCCTAAAATCATGTATTGAAGTTACTGATACTCGTGTAAATACTAGCTTCTGCGAAGCTAAAGAAAAATTTAGAGTCCAAGCTCACTTGACACAGCTCCATGACCAGTAGATACGGAGTCCTGTCGATCACAAACCCATAGAATTTGACGATATTCACGTGCTCATACTGAAAAGAGTTCACATAAAGCACGTTCAAAAAATTGTAAAAGACCCAAAACATCCGACAATTACCATCTGCATCACTCGTGCCTCTTTCATCATCTCAATTAGACCTTGTTCATCCTTTCCCACCGAATCCAGACGTTTTGTGGCGACCTTGATCTTCCTGGTCTGACCCTTGTCCCGAATCGTCAGATATCCCTGATACACAGTGCCATAGGCCCCGCTTCCAATCTGAAGTCATGCCATATTATTTCACAATAACAATTATATTACACTCGACATCAAAATCATCAGGTGTAATCAAGTTTGATGTCGAACCATAATGAACAATCGTCTCACTAACCTTGTACCGCATCCTCACGTCCCGATGAGTGATGGACCATTTGCTTTTGGGCACGGGACGACGAAGCACGACTCCGTCTCCATTCAGATCCAGCTGATTCTTCTGGAAATGGGCAACGGCGTCTTTGATGGTGGGAAATTGCTTATTCTGAAGGAAACCATCATCATGAAGGGCCTCCTAGAAAAGGCCGGGGTAAATCTCAAGGCCTGGTTTGACGACAATGGGGCCGATATTTAGAGTTTTGTCCCACACTACCGTAACCAAAAAATTTTCAAAAATCAGGTTTCAGAGGTGTTGCTCCATATCACATAAACACCCACACTACGAGTAAATGGGCTTACCATCAGGCGGACCGCGTTGTTCTTGATTCTATCCAGATGGAATCGAAAGACCTCCTTCTTTCGAACAGCCAAGATCAGACGACCGTCTTGAGAAGGACGGCATTGGATCAGAAAGTCCCCTTCATTGACCAACATCTTGTCGGCGTCATCGTCCGGGAGTGCGCCATGAAAGTAATGGACATCCGAGACCTCTTCATTGAAAGTCATCAGTACTGAAATTGGCTATGAACAAGAATAATTTTGTAATTTTTGCATCTAAGAAGGATGTAGTTCAATCATCTTGTAAAATACGTGATAATGAACCATGTTTAATATCAAATATCATCATCTTAATTTTGATCTTATGTTACCCAAGAATCAATTAAAATGTCATCAAGTACCTAAAGCAATAAGAAAAAAATATCGAACCCAACTTACAGTGGTATGATTCCAGTCAGTATGAGTCGAAGTCAGTAGAAATCAGTTGATGAGTCCTCCAGTCAAAACACGACCAATTCAACCGTATTTGACTGGCCAGAATAACCAATTCTTCCTCATTTTCGGTTGGGCCGCTTATAAAGTTCATTCAAATTTTCGATTCGATCGAAGATAGCGGACCCCCTGACTCAATATGACACAACTTTACGTCAACTCGATAACAAACAATTTATTTCTTCAAGGAAATAACAAACAAACTAACAAATAACTACTGTAACATCAAGGGGAAAACAAAGCTATGAAAAACTGATTTACAATGTAAACGGGCGCGCGATTAGAAACTTCAAAGATTATGAGGTACATCTAGTGGTGTCTTGACTGCCGGGGATGCTGTTGTGACACTCATTTGTTTATCGGCTGCTGAAGCGGAGAGGAGCTGGGCTAACGTCATTTTGGGCTAAAAACATATAAAATTGGATAAAGACAGTTCAAACAGAAGTAACATGCAATTGGCCGACGTCTTTTGGCAAAGCTTTTCCGACAAAAAAGCCAAAAACATATAACCACAAATAGCAAGTGTAATACCGAGAATTCCTTCAAATAAACACTCTTATCCAATCAACTCACCTTTTTCTTGCTGGGTCCAAATCGCAGATCGATGCCAGAAGATCCGGAACTGTTCGCCGATTGTCTCGAGACATTCGACTTGACCGAGTGATTGGAAACGTTCGAGTCTTCGGGCAATCCTTTATTCCTCGGCGTAACCGGAGTAACTTGTGTCAGCGTTCTCTTCAAGCTTCGATCACCCGAATTTTGCTCCGAGAAACCCTCCAATCGCTTGACAGGAGTCTGCATTGGACCTTCCGGTGCCACCAAAAAGGAATTATCCTTCCTGGACTCCATGGAAATGTCGACCATGGTTGGTCTCGTTTTCATCTGCTCAATTTGGGCCTCTTTCTGAGCTAATTCAGCCTTCAGTCGATCTATCTCACACATCAAACTCTTGTTGTCGTGGTTTAATCGAGAATCTCGGGCTTTTTTCTTGGCCGAAGCAGAAGTTGCATCGGAGATTAATTGTTGCAGCATTTGAGTTGGATCCGTAAAGAATCTTTTGATCTAAAATAAAGGTAGTTCCGGGTTGTTACCTAAAAAAGCAAAAACGAAGCAAAAAAAATCTTACTTTATCGTCCATCTTCGGGGTCAATCGAGTGATCTTACCGCTCTTCTTACAGATGTAACACACATTCAATAATCCTGAATTAAAAGGTCTAAGTTATGAGATCTTGCAAGTTCAGAAATTTCATTGCTTGCGCCACAAAAACCAACTTACCCTTTCCTACACATGCCTGACAAGCAATATGACCACAAGAAGCAACAAAATAAGAAATTTTAGATGATGGCATCGTTCCGCAAATGTTGCAGTGCACAAAGTACACTGACATTTTGACATGCAATAAAAAAGCGCACTTACAAAAAACGTTATCAAAAATTGCAAAATAAATTTTCTTCTTGCCATTTCTGACACCTAAAAGTTTTCGTGGTGAGACTCAAATCAAAGAGCGGCGAAATAAAAAATCGAACTTTTTATTGCTCTAAATGCATTATGCCTGAGGTAGCAATATTATTTTTATAATCTTTATAAAGCTGGCGACCCGTTGTGAGAAGATGAAAGTCATTTGGCGGTAAATTGCAGTTTGAGAAAGTGTAAATGAAATTCATACGGTAGTTTCGATCCGTTTGGGTGGTCGTTTTAGCACAATCAAGGGCACTCTGAAAGTAAAATGCGTTTTTAACACAGAATTTTTATAAACGGCGCTTAGAGAGAGGAAATCAAGAATTATATTATTCAGGCGACCTACAGTGTTTGAGTCTGCGCGTCCGTAACATTAGTCGTGGATACTGCTCTACTGACTTGCGTAAGAGCTGGCGAAGGCCGTCGAACAATTACCGACTTTGGAGAGAGCTCTGGCTCAGTTTTTGGAGATGCTGGAGCTTTAATTTGCACTCGATGATCGACCTTAAATTGCTCCAAATCCTCTTTTAACTCTCTTCTGGCAGGTGTTGAGCTTGCAGAATTATGGCGGGCCCTTCTCCGTGCCGGCGAAGCTGTTCTACTGCCCGGGAGGGATCGAGGAATTAGCGGAAGGTACGATTCAAACTAAAATAGGATATAGCTATCAAGTAGATAATAAAAAAAAACTTACTCCGTCCGCATCCTTGAGCCTTTCCAGCTCTTCCTTTCGTCTTTCTTCGATATCATGATGTCTGGCGAGTAATCGATTTACATGTTCGAAGTAATCGTCTTCACATTCGAAACGCAGCTTCTCTTTTCTTTTTTTCCTGAAGCTCGGACAATGGCAATGAAGAAGGCAATTGCACACAATTAACAGACAAATCAACGCCAAAACCATTGCAATCATTACGAGGAGCACAAAGATCTCATTGTGCGTTTCGTCGAGACGGATGTGATCTCGAAGGTAGCGACTCATCCTGTCCAACACATTGGTCAGCCACTGGCTGAGTGTGCAGTCCCAACGGCCGGAGGCGGAACGCCGTTGCCTCAGACTACAAGAGGAATCCGACAGCTTCGGGACTAAAACGAAATGCGAATGTTTCTTCCATTTTTGTGATCTGTTTTGTCGCTCTCTCGAATTACAATAGAAAAAAGGGGAGAAGAAGGCGAAGAAGACCGACGGAGGAGGCCAAAGGAATTCGGTATGTAGTCCTGCTGTTTTTTCTGCCCGAATATGGGGGTTTTTTATTTGAAGAACTTAATTTGGAATGGCGACGATTTTACAAAGAGAATAATACGTTTTGCATAAGAAAAGGAAGTTATACAAAGCGAAGTGGGCATTCAAAACAAAAAATGGACAAAAAAGAAAGTTTGGAGGACTAATCCATGACTATCTTGGGAATCAGCTAGATTTTGAACCGATCGGCAGCAAAAAACGCATGGAAAGTGAAAGGAGATCAGGCAGAATGGAGTCCACTATTGCGAATAATTGCTTTCCGTTCGATTAAACCCTAACAAGTTAAAATTTACCTGTACGTCCGAAGGTTGGCTGGAGAAAGATAGTAAAATAGATGCAGCCTAGAATCAGAAGCCTAACACTTCCTAGAATGAGATCCACACCGGCATGGGCGGCCGTTCTTTGCTAAATATCCATAAAAAGCCGGGGTATCAAATGTCATCCAAAAGTCAAAGAAACAAATTGTAAATAAGCTGACTAAAGCAAAAGTATGGCACGAAGTTTACCAATACTCTTTCAAGGGGTGCTCTAAGTGTGACAGCTGGGACTATAAAGCCTTAATTTTTTTTGGGGGGCTAATATGAGTACAAGGCCCAGAAAATGCTTGCATGGGATCTAAGAAGTCTTCCACCAAGCGAATTGAATCAAAATTATAACTAAACTTTTATGACTTTCTTTACTCCCCGCAGCATATAATAAACTAAGCTGATTACCGGTCATTCCCTCTTCCATGACCTCAAAAGCCAAACCTTCGGAAGTCAAAGGTCAGCGGCTTGAAATTCAAAAGACAAACTCCTATTTCAAAGCAAACCACGCCATCTTCAGGCCTTGCGCAACAAATTACGCACTCCACGAGTGGATAAACAAAGAAACGGTCAAATAATATTCCGATGCCTTTCTTCTGTCTGCAACTTAACCGGAGTCAAATCACCCCCACCACCTCTTCAACCCGACTTCAAGTGCTATAAGGTTTTGGGGACTGAATGGAGCGAAAGTACGCAACCGAAGTCGCCTTTTTTTCTTTTTTCGAAAGCCAAACAAAGCCGATTAGTCCTTCGAAAAACCATTTTTCTTTGATTTCCTTTCTCCGATCTCCTTCGTGACGGCACAGGTAAAAGAGAGGAAGGGTCAGAATAAGGTCGTGTTAATCAAGTGTTAAGAACATGCCGAGAACGGATGTTACAGCAAAAAGAAGAGCGATGGGGCGTTGGTTGAGGAGATTGAGAGGAGATATGAATACGACATGATTTGGTCAGGCAGGTGGAGGTCGGAAATGGATTAAGTGAGCGTTCGAACGGATAGAAAGCGGCGTTCAGAAGTTTTTTGTAACGAAGGAAATTAAACCCTCAAGTAAAGTTAAAAGTTTTATTGAAGTGTACAAAGTCAAAGCAGCTAGCGATGTAATCATAATGACTATAAATATGAACCATATTTCTAAAGCAACTACATATCACACGAAAAATACAATACATACGCAAGGTTTTTCAAAAACCGTGGATGTCAGAGGCTATAAACCTCAGGCGGAGGCGGCGCAGAGAGTTCATTTTTGGAATACATGTTTTTTAAGCCGGACTGTTTTTTGGCTACTCTGTAACAAGATTTGAAAGTGCAAACTGAGGTCGGTACGACTTTTTGAAGTAGAAGCGTTCTTACCCCGACAAGAAGTGCTTTTTCGACTGGAAGTCATCGAGAAATTTTGGATTTTTTTTGGTTTTCGATGGAGTTAATGTCAAAAAAACGAGAAGGAAATTATTAAACACGTTGCAAATTATGCAACAAATTGGGTTACTCAACAATAAATGAAGTCTCTACGCCGCCTCAGCCTGAAGTTATAGCCTCTGACTTCCTTTACGTTTTTTTGTAAGACCCTGTACACAAATTCTTACAACCAGATGCGTATTCTAAACCTTTGATAATCAATTTCTTTGCACTGCAATTTCTCTGACTTTTCCGGACTTCTCCAACTTCTTTTTTGGCACAATCACATTGAGGACATTGCTCTCGTCGATGAAACTCTTAATGTCGTCCAAATTGTAGTCCTTGGCCGGGACTAGAACGCTTTCTTCAAAGATAATTTTCCTCACTCCCCCATCGATTGGTTGTTCATGATATCCCGACAACTTCAAGGTTTCTCCATTCAATTTGACATGGATTTCTTCCGGAGTAAAGTCGGCAACATGGCATTCGAATTTCAACGAATCAATAGTCGAAATTCGATCGCACTTCTGACTGGCTGTAGGGATTTGCATCGCAAACTTTGGATGAACAATAGAAACTGAAGATGGGTAATTTGAAGGGGACATTGACAAGGTGGGGAGTTTGACTTTGAAGTTGCTGAAGTTAGCTTCCATGTCATCAAGGAGTTCGCGGAGGGATCTGAAGACGAAGTAAGGAGCGGGAGGACCAGAAACTGAAGAAGAGGGCCCACCGATTACAGCGGACTGTGAGGTTCGTTCTGAAAATTCAGGACGGTTTTTACAAAACTTGGATCATACGGGAGTACTACAAATTCTACGTTTAGATTTTGAAGAAATTTGGTAAATTTAAAAATTTTTAAAGACCTTTTCAAGACTTGTAGCTCGCGCTTTGCAGAAGTTTTTCGTAAAAATCAAAGGCTCGCTGTGCGAATTTTTGCATGTAAAATTTTGCGTTTATCTCTTTAAATCCGGGGAGCTTTTGAGTCCTCAGTTGACTCATCCTACGCAAAACTAATTATTCCGACAACTTACGGTCTGTCCCAGCAGGGGTATTTACTACACCGGGTCCACCATTTTCATGAACTTCGGCGCGAACATGCTGATAATGGGTCACATCCTGAGCGTTTATCGCCAAAATCAAGAGTAGAATCAAGGAAACTTGGAGCATCTTTGAAAGATTGAAGTGAAGAGAGTTCGGGAAGGAAAACACTTTTATGCTTTTGCCTTTTTATTCCCATTTTTTACAGGTAACCATTTGTTTTTTATAAGGTTAGAGGGCATGCGGAAACCAACTGTTCCTTATGATGATTACGCATCTTATTCAGCAAACGTAAACCAACCAAAATTAAACGGAGGGGAATTAAATGATACTTAGTATTGGGTAAATGACAAACAAGGAGAATGACAATTCAAAAATTAATAAAATTTGAGATTTTCTACCTGGGGAATATCATCCAGGCGGGCAAAAAAAAATAAAAATTTTGCGTGCTTGGTATACTGAAGTAACACGTGAAATACAGAAAAATACATTTTTTGTTTTACAGCAACAGCTGTTATATTCAAAAATCTTATCATGGAGGAAATCGAGTGTAAAACATCATGCCTTTCTTTCGTTTTTTTGCTAGTATACATTTTGAATCTTTTCGATAAGTTGTCCAACAGCCCTTAGCATTATCTCCATGACTCATTCTGCATCCTCTCAAGTTTCATAATCCAAATATTATACTAGCTTGGCAGTTGAATTACCTCCCATTAATAACTTCTCCTCTCCTCCGAACAACCGTCATGGATATTTTCGAACGCCTTGGCCAGTACTTGTGATGCTGTAAAAAGTGAGATTTATGAGGCCATTTCATGGGCCGGGAGTTTTTACAAAAAGCCGTGCCCGCACTTTCGCTCTTTTTACATTGTTCTAAAAATATAAATGAGCCGGCTGACAATACGATGCAGCGTTGTTATGGAGACGGACTTTCGGGCGATGGAAAAGCCGATTTGGGCTGGGTCGAATACAAATTGAAAGTCCCTGTATAATATAATACTACAAATGGTTTGACTTATGGTACGTCGGTTATCAAAATTTGTTGGGAGCAACATTTCTATTCATATAAGTATAATATTTTTGGAGTCATTCTTTTGACAGGGGAGTTGTTCATAATGCATTTCTTAGATTTTGATTAAGCTTGGCAAGGCTAAGATTAGAACCATACAATTGTAAAAAAAGTATCAGTTATTTCTTGCCTCGTGCTGTGCGGAAACGATCGAAATTTTTATGACAAAAAAACGAAAAATTGGATCTCTGCGATTTCTAGGAGTGAAAATTCAGCTTACTTTCTAAATTGAGTGTAAAAAAATTTTCCATAAAAATATTGTTTTTCCATGATAATATTGTCCAAACTTTCCTCCTTTCCTCCCATTTTACGCAATCTCTTGCCAAAAAATTGTCTGAAAATGTCGGAAATGCCTGCGACGCTTTTGCCAATTTTTCGGGATTAAAATATGTGCAATACAGGTGCTTGTGTATTTTTGTTAAACGTTTTTTTTCAGAAAGTCAAAAATTCAAAAATCTTTTTTTCATTTTCTCACATTTTTTAAACCAATTGATGTGATTACCCTCAATCTACAAGAAGCTCCTTACCACGTTTACGTCGCCTTTTTTTGTCACTGAATGTTGCCTTTCTCTCGTTTTTGAGTTACTTATTTACCAAGTTTTTCACAGTTCAACGCTTCTTGTGACCTTAAAATAGAGGTGAAAAGTCAACGCCAAATGTTAATTGAAAGGAACATTTTTGAGAACATCCTCGAAGCTTATTAGCACTTTTTTTGATTTATTGGATTTTCTGAGGGTAAAATACGAGACTATGGTTTTTCATTTGTTTGAAGATTTGGGAAATTGAAAATTTTTTTATCTCCGTTTTACAGCCCAATTACTCGGTAATTCTCTCCAAAAACTTTTTAAGACCACAAAAAATAATGCCCCTAATTAAAGTTACATGTAAATTAATAGATTCCTCCCCAAGAGAACTTAATTACTTTGTTTACTTGAGTGTAAATTCGTAAAGTTTTTGACAGACTTTGTGGCTGTTTTCCTCCCTTTTGTTCTCAAATTTCGGCCTTTTACTCTCAACCAAAATCTGACCTTGACGCTGAGGAGATCCCACAAACAAACTTTTTTTGCGAACTTCCTCAATTTCACACGCGAAACACGTACTAATAAAAATATGAGTTGAGAATGAGGGGCCTCATGGCTATCGATTTCAATAGGAGTTTTCGACAGATAATTTCAAAATCTTCTGTTTTCTTTAGGCAATCTGTAATCTTAATCTGAGCCAAGCTTCATGAAAATGTAGGTGCTCTACTTGTTTTTCTTTTCTGAACTTTTAAACGACTGCTTTAGTTATTTATGATCCTTCTTTGTATCAAATGTTTGATTTCATCAGAAGATTAGAAATCTGCTCGTGGATCAAGACGATTTGCATCAGCATCCCCCAATTTATCACCTCCAAACATCTCTTTTTTTACTATTGTTACCTCTTTTATCTCGCCTTCTTGCCTCATGAAATATTACCGCCAAAAGTCGGTAAATGAATCAGATCTTTTTATATTTCTGGCCAAATGATATCACTCTTTTGGCAACAAATCAATTATCGGGAACAACTGATTTTACACCGCCCTCTTTTTTCTTTTGTCCTAATTCCCGCTGGCACTCGCCCAAGCCATTAATCATGAGCGAAAAGGGGGCGGATCAAGGCTGCCAATTGTTTCGAAAAAAGCAGGAAAACGAACTTTTCTAAGATTCTCGAATTTCAGTCAGGTGTTTGAGGAATCCGAGTTCGAAAAGTGTTGTTGTTTGTGATGATGTTAGGCATGGGTTGTTATGGTGACGATTCTTGTTTTGCTGTTTTTGTAAATAGCGAAGTGAAAGTATAGCATATTAAAAAGGATGGCGGATTTTTTACGGGCATTTATTATATGCCTGAGGCGCGATGCCCAGATTCTTTTGACAAGTGTTCGTATAGAGAAATCTAAAAATCCTTATGTATTATAAGATACTAATCTCAATTTTTTATTATGAACGCCTTTTCCGTTTTTGGATCAACATAATGACTCTTGAATTTTGATGACTAAAAACAAATTTTGAAAATTTTGTTTTTTGCCCTAACTCCTCTTCAAATTCGATTTTGAAGCTTCTTGTCACACCTTTCTTAACCCATCCCAAATTACTTCTCCTCCCGCCCATTCCTATACAAAGGTCCTATTCATCCGCCCATTATGCACAGTCCGAACTCGCCGCCTGTCACTCCCATTATGGGCGCATTGTTTCACTGCAGCAGAAAGGCGTAAATTCACAAATTTCGCTCTCACCAGCGTCGTATTTAATTTGACCTCGCGTAAAAATCTCGCATTTATTTGAATACATAAAATCGGAGTGCGCAGAGAACTCGGATTTCACGTCCAAATGGGTAAACAACCTCAGGGTCGCCATAACGACGGAGATCATGTTGAAAAGGATTTTGGAAAGCGAATATTACATTGTAGAGGAGCTAATTCTGGCCGACCTTTGCAGGGATCATCAAAAATTGTTTTTTAGAAGCTTTGATAATTTTTGAATACTTTTTTTTTTGTTTTTTATACTTTTTCCTCTTCAAATACCTCAAAACAAAACCAAAAATAAAAACGAAGCGCTGAGATTAAATAGCGTTGCATTCAGCGGTATTAAGCGTTATATCCCCCTCAAATCCCCCCTTCAATATTCACCATCCCGTTACAAAAAGGACATCTGAAATATCGCCATTTAATCCGCTACCTATCCCTCTTTGTTCTGCTCCAACTAAGGCCGTAACAGGGGTTGTTTACGATGTCATAAAGATCGATCTACATTTTGGACAGCTCCATTATAACAGACTTGATTTTTGGCTTGCCATTTTTTCAAAATCCTGGCTTTTCGAAAATAATAATACGTTACACTCAAAAATAGCAAAATATTTTTAGAAAGGCCTCCGAAAATTCTCGAGGAAAGGACTCCAATATATTGTTTATGGGACTAGTGCCATAAAATTTTATTTTGATACTTACTCCGACTTCCCTCAAGAAATGTTTTTTCGGGCAAGGAAAGACGGTTGAACACTTTTTTTTCGCAAACAAAATTGGCTTTTCTCGACCCTAAGCACAGTAGATTATCTTATCTATTGTTTTTGGATACATCATGAGGCCACAGTTGTCATAAATGTGACTCGCGGAGATGATGTGCCAAATGCGTGGCATTCTTTCAAGATAAACACGGCTTCTATTATAAGGAGAAGAATGACCACAAAAAGTGGTCAATTTCGCTTAATTTGGATTCTCTGTAAATGGCTTAAGATTATATTCATCATGACCGTGAGACTTTCAAATTTATATAAGCCCACCCAGAAGACTGGCAAGAAATTTATGGCCACTTTTGCCATTAATAAATTGCTGATACTAAAGTAGAGGGTCTTTTATGTCTCTAAACCCCGTATTTTAACCCGCTGACACTTTGGATTTAAATGAATATTAAATTTGTGGCGTTCCAAAGCCTTTTATATTTAATTTGGTGCGCACCCATTCCCAAGACTTTCCCCAAAATGAGATTTCTTTGGGTTCTCTTTGGCATATCTAGCCGGCTTTCGAGGGCTGAGCGTCGCTTGGCCAGCGGTAATTTTTCGGGATTTGGGTTATGGAAGAGAGGGTTATTAGTGGGGTATTTAAGGGAGGGAAAAATGGGGTTAATTTTTCGATAGCTTGCGGAAAAAATAGAAAATAAAGATTTAGTAGGTAAAAATTTGGAGATCTCCAATTTCGTCCAAAAACCGGTAAAAACTTTAGAGAAAGAGTTACCTTAAAGTTTCTTACCGTCTATGGAAAGAGCAAAAAGTAGAAGTTTTTTTATCACTCCCATTGTTGTCAACTTAAGCCCCCTTTTCTCCATTAATTCCAAATTACTTCTGCATTCGCCTCAATTTCCCCCCAAATGTCATGAACAAGGCCCTGTACATGACGAGTTTGGCCATTCTTTTTTGCGAAAAGTGCGCAGATTTATGTGTCCCTGGGGCCGGGGGGACGTTTGAAATCGACCGAGGGGACAGCTGTCCCCTGCCTGTTCTCGGGGCACCCAGCTTTGTTTGTGAGTGTTTTTGTTTTGGCCCGTTCTTCGCTGGGGGTTTGTTTTTGGGCCAAAAAAAGTTTGAAACGTCGTTTATAAAGAGCGACGTTATAAAGAGGGGGCCTGTTTTCAACTTTTGATAGGGTTGTGTAAATAGAAACGGCCGGTTCTAATGAGGCCGGAAAAGGGAAATACAACGGGAAGAAGGGCACATGGGTTTTATTGGGTAAGTCCGATCGTTGTTTTGGCCGAGACTTTACTAGTATTTGTTTCTTGTTTACGAAAGGAGAGGATGTGGAAATTTCGGGGGTTTCGCGATTTTTGTTAAATTTGCTAGACGCATTTTGATGAAACTTGGCAGAAAGATTGTCCATTTCATGAGACAGCCGCGTTAAATTAAAAAATATTTGTTAACGTTGATCATTAACGAAAATTTTTTATTTCCAAAAATCTCGTTTATACACTTCAATCGATTTTTTGAAGGATTATAAAAAGCCTTGTTTTTATGGCCATCAATTTTCTTATTACCAATTGTCATCTTAAGAAATCTATTTTTCAATTTCTTGAGATTCCCCCTTCTTCACCTCCTTTCCTCCTGGCTCTGGCATAAACAAACCCATTTATCTGGCCTTGGAAAATCACGTGTTCCCCTTTTCTCTCCAAAAATCCAATTTTCATGTCCAAAATGAATGGCCAAAGACAGAAGAATTTTTTGGATGCCCAAAATTACTAATTACAGCCGAAATTTGTACTACATATAAATTAGGAAAATTTTGCAGAATATTCTAATCAGTCATTCCCAAGTTTTGACTCGTTCTTGCACAGCATTTACTAGTGGAATTAGAATTTATTTTGAATTCCGTTTCTTCTAGGGTTCAATTAAATGGCATCTAAAACAACGCAACATTTGTTTTTCCGTCCGTTTAATGGCCGACATAAATGGGAAAGTTATTTATTTCGGGGTAATCAAAGCCGCTGAAGCCATTAAACCTTGAGTATTTAAATTGACGAGGAAGTCTTGAAGAGATATTGGGTGCGCCAAGGCAAATATTACTTCAACGGCTTTTCAATTTTAGTTTTGATTGGGAACTTGACAAAAGCTATTAAACAAATTTTGATTCTTAAAATTTCATATTCAAATTTCGTAAAATTAAGACTTTTTAGAGCTTTTTTGAGAATATTATGTATGATTAGTTTACTGCCTAAGGCCACAAAAAATTTTAAAAATCGAGATACTACCCATGCCTTTCTTCTACCCATAATAATTGAATATTCATTCCCCTCATTTCCCTTCGAAATTTTCCAATTTTATGGCCAAAAGTCACGAAACCCCGAGAATTCTTTCCTCCAAAATAATTAAATTGTATGCGTTTTTGTGTTGTTTATTTGCCCAAAGGAACGTAAAAAAGGCGGTGTCGGGGCGAGGGGAGTGGACTGTTTTTCCAGTCCAACGATTTTGGCTAATTTATTTAAATCAAGAGGAATGTATTTTTTTGTTGGAGCGCTGCTTTCGAAAAGGGTTTTGCGTACAGAAAACCCCTCTTTCCAATTTTGTATATTGTAATCGCTTTGCGAAGCGGGCTTCAGGCGAAATGAGGGGCTTTGGCGGTTTTAGGGGCGAGTGCAGGGGTGCTGGGCAGGGCGGGTAAGCGAATATGGGCTGCAAATTGGACGGCATGCCGTTGGAAATTGTTGCGGAGATTTGACAGATCTTGAAAAAAATAAAAATTTCCATTTTTGATGATTTAGGTATGCAGCTTTTTAAGGGAATTGTTAAGAATTTCTGTGACACATCTGCAGTCCAATGTCTCAACAATGCACTCAAAATTTGGTCTAGAACTTTTGCGAATAGATCCTCCCTTTACATTGTTTCCCTAGAAAAGTTGAAAAAATCCCAAATTGCACCACTTCAGCAAGCTTCAGATAATTTTTTCGAATGACCGCTCGCATCTTAAACCTTGACGTTATAGTAATTAGATTCCATTTATACTTGATGAACTAAAGTCTTTGCTGTCAAGCGTTCACTTGCGATTACTATTTTCTCAAGCGCTTTTTGCAAAAACACGGAATTTTTGTTGCGAGCCTCAAAAAACATTGATAAAAGAACTGCACATTTATCGTTGTTTGGCGGTATAAATCTCCCAAGTTTTTTGTGATTCAACAATAATATTTTGGCTGTTTATATGGCGTTTACTTTGTTTTTGAAACCACGTGAGCGTGGAAATAAAAGTAAAATAGTTTTGTTACAATTTTGGCATTTTAAAGGCATTTTGGAGACAAAAGAATTGATTTTGACTATATTGTTGTATAGATGACATTCCAGTCTGATGTTAAAAAGGGTGGAGTAGAACATTGTGAATGAGTGTTTTAATTTTTGCTGGGGTTAACAAATTAATATTTCCTTTGAGAGATTGCTCAAAATGAAGAGAGGCGGTCAAAGAAATTATCCTTGAGCTATAAACCTGCATCTTGGCCATAAAGATGATTTCTGACGGGGTTTTTTTTGTTTCACGAATGAGTGGTCAATAAATTTTTCAGCTCAAAATTCGAGAAAATATTTCTCAATTTTTGAATTAAAAATCGTGATAGTTTCTCTAAAAGATATGTTTAAAATGTATGGTAATCCTGATGATTACTGCTCCAAATTTGGGCAAAATTGTGTCAAATAATACGAATCCCCCTAGGGCATTTTTCCTGTAAATTTGAAACTGACTCCCGTTCGTATTCGAAAAACATTCAATTTAACTTTTAACTCGCTACAGTAGCGTATTTTTTAGTTTTTTATTTTTTGCACTGACAGACAAAACAAACCTAACCAAAAACACGTTCCGTCTTTATCAGGTGCATGTGCCTCTCCTCAGACATGCACAATTGTTTTCACCAACGATCTCTAATCAAGGCCGACACTCCCTATAAATAAGGCCTTCAAATTTGACCTTTTTTTACGAAAACACTCCTATAAAATCGAATAGAAATGGACCTCAGACATTGGACGTGCACCATATTCCCCGCTAGTAAACAAGGAAGCGAGAGCACGGTAAACAAGATGAGAGCACGGGTTGTTTTTTCGGGTCTTTTGTTTGTTGTTTTTGGCAAGGAAATGTCCCTCTCTCTTTCGTCGAATAAAATTATTTCCGCGGTAAAGAGAAACACATAAAACGGCAGGCATCTGGTGATGATTTGGTCGGGAGATGCTCGAGAATTTGTGGATCTTTCCTTGGTTTCGAGAAAGTTGAAAATGGGACGACATTCTGAAGTGAAAAAAAGTAAAGTCACTCCTAGGTTGCTTCAGACGGGGGTAAATAAGGATTCGCAATTTTCCAAATTTTTTTGTGGGTAAATTGCGTCAGGATGATGACCTTTTTGGCATCTTTTCAAAAGAAAGATGTTTTTTCAGACATTTTCACTTCTGGTTTGTTGGACCAACTTCATTCAAAAATAGCTCAGAGATCACGAGTGGGAGGTCTTGAACATTTTTTCAGGACTTCTTCCTTGTTTTTCTGATCGCCTCACTAATTTTTATGTCGCATAATAAATAATGGGGCAGCCAGTGAAGGATCGGGATAGTGGAAGTGTTAGTTTTGAAATGAATGGTCCTTTAAAAAATTCTCTTGTGCTGAAAGTGGCGTTAATGAAATTTGGCATGTTTACTTGTTACTTTAAAAACTTCCTTTCAGGTCGTGCGTGCTTCAAAATTTCGACAAAAGATCGAACATTTCCGACAACCCTAAAAACATGACTGAAAAAGATTTTTGTCTTCTATTCTCATGTATTTCGCTGACCCTTGACATTTGAATTTACTTCCCTGATTACCCAAACAGTCCGTTTCAGAACCAAGTCTAATTTACCATAACTAATTGAAAGCAAAACCTTTGAATTTCTTTCAGCAAACACTCTGGATCTCAATGATCAGTCCCTGTCAAAATTTAACTAATGGTTCTTGGTTCTTATAAAGTAACATCTCCTTTTATTCTTTGTTTACCTCTGCGCTTCGTAAATGGCGAATTTCTCCCTCCCCGCCCATTTTCATTATATTTTTTACTTGCACATTTCTGGCCCCTCAGACCCCATCAATCTTTGCATCTAGTGCTATTCTTTATTTTGCTTTCTCATTTATTCCCGTTTTTACGAACGCCTGTCCCAAAGTGATCGTGGATCACATTCCGTGTTCGCCTTGTTTATTTGTTAACTCGTTTTTCTTTGTTTACAGTATTCTTTTGTAGTTATGGCGGCCTCCAAATTCGCCTCCAATCAATTCACAATCTTTGTGACCCTCTTCACCGTCTTGTTCCTGGTGTTGTTCGGGATTTTCGGTCGATATTCCGGAGAAACTTTGCCCAATGGATCGCCAGATTTTGGAAAAGTTTCGAGAGATTATCCCTGTGAGTCTGTTACCGTAATTTTGATATTTTTAAGTCAGCATTTTGAACGTAGGACTTCTTTTACTCCAGAAATTGCATAGCTATGATGCAATCTACTTGTTTTTCGATTAAATTACGAAATCTTTGTCATCATTATTGACAATCATCCGAAAACATCCGATTTAGTATCGATTACAGTATAATTTCTGTCATTTTAGTGCTCCACGACACTCATGGCTTCGTCTTGATCGGCCTCGGATTCTTGGTCGCCTTCTTGAGACGATACGGATTCTCAGCTTTGGCCATTAACCTGCTGTTGGTGGCCTTTGTCTTGGAATGGGGACTGATTATCCGCGGGTTCCTGAGCCCCGAATTCTCTCAGCATTCGGCTTTCAGCATCTCCTTGAAGGAGTAAGAATTTTGTTTGTTTCTTGATCTATTAATATAACTTTAAAAGGCTTTTAATAAGAATATCTACGCTAGGCCGGCAAATATTCAATTAACTCTTTAATTACAGTATCGCCAAGGCCGACTACACCGCTGCCTCGGTCCTCATCTCCTACGGCGCTGTTGTTGGCAAGCTCTCGCCCATCCAATATGTGATCCTTGCCTTCATCGAGACCCCTCTTTCCATCGTCAATGAATTCATTCTTTTCGCGCTTCTGGGCGTTGGAGATGTTGGTGGATCCATTGTTGTCCATCTTTTCGGAGCCATCTTCGGTATTGCTGTTGCTCGAGTTGTCTTCAAGCCATCGCAGATCCAATCCGAACATCAGGGATCCATCTATCATTCAGACATCTTCTCGTTTGTCGGCACTGTCTTCCTGTGGGCTTTCTGGCCAAGTTTCAACTCGATCTTCGCTGTAACGGCTGCTGAACAACAACGAGCTGTGGTCACGACTTTCCTGGCTCTTTTGGGATCTACTGTCACCACTTTCTTGTTCTCTCAATTACTTAACAAGGAGGTAAGACAAGTTTTCTAAACTATTTTTATCTATTTTTTTGGATACTTTGTGGAATCCGAATTAGGTTTTAGCGGCAGACTGTAACCACAGCCAATAAACCGTCCTTTAGACCCGTTTACAGACCTATTTACCATCGAAAACCCGTTTTACTATGGGATAATTACCGAACTGTGACCTTGAATAAGTTTAGAGTCTGGGTTCGGCCGGATTAAAATGTTTACACTTTTCGAAAAAGGGTACCGAAATTTGAAATAAAAAGAAGAATCCAAAATACCTAAAATTAAATTAAAATAATGTGAATAATTTTCAGAAGCGTTTCAACTTCAAACACATTGCCAGCGCCACCTTGTCTGGTGGAGTTGCCACCGGAGCTGTTGCCACTTTGGTTTTGTCGCCGTTGGCCGCTCTTTTGGTCGGAATCGTCGCTGCCATCATCTCTGTTCTTGGATTCAACGTTGTCACGGTATGCCAGGAATTAAGATTACGGATCAGGGTTGCATTTTACAAAATTGAAATTTCCAAGGATTTATACAGCCTTTAGTCAAAAATTAAGTATTTCAGCCCCTCCTCGCCCACAAACTTGGAGTCCACGACACTCGCGGCGTCCTCTCCCTTCACGGTCTCCCCGGCATTGTTGGAGCTTTGGCCTCAGTCATTCTACTCTTTTTGACCCCCACTGAAGTCTTCGGAGAGACCATCCGCAACATCTATCCCCTCCACAAGACTGATTCCAAAGATGGCCGAACTCCCGCTGAACAGGCGCTATTCCAATTGGCTGGCCTTGGTGTCACCATTCTCTTTGCTTTGGTCACTGGAGTCATCACTGGTAAGTTCGATCAGTATTGAAAAATAGAAAACATCAAAACCCGTCGTATTTCTTTCGCTAAAGGGTTACTACAGAATGTCTTAAAACACAACTTTAGGTGTGATTCTCCGTCTTAAAATCTGGCGTCAAGTCCGCGAAAAGGAGAATTACAGCGACACTGACTTCTTCGAAGTTCCAGAAGACTTTGACTTCACCACTCGGGTAAGTATTCATACATATTACGAACTTATTCATTTTTGAAATTTTGGATGACCAAATTTCTATTTGGGCAAGTCCCCAAATAAATTAGTTTGGGCCAAAAAATCTTAGTTCACGCTTTGCAATTACAGTTTTTTTGTGTTTTGTTAAAACTTATGTCTTATTTTCAGGTGACAAGCCACATTGAACGTGTCGAGTTGACCGAGCACACCGAACGAACCAAACTCACCAACAACGAATTCACCAACTAAAAACATCGAAGCGAATGTAAACAGTTGTTCCTCTGCATTTTGACGACCAAATCACCGAGTTTTTGAGCAAAAGTTTTGAATTTCGTTTCGTTTCGACCAAATTTCCCACGAAATCTTTCATCCAACTCAAGGGCTCTGCATTCGAGCGAGAAATTACAGTATCCAGAAACTTTTAAAATAAAAATTTAGCAAATTACAGTACTGTTTAGGCAAATTTTTATTCAAATTTCTCCCCAATGCGGATCCAAAATTCAAATTTCAATTCGAAATCGAATCGAACAGAACTTCGAAAACCGACTGCCTTCAACCTTTGTCACAGTAACCCACACAGTATTCTTCCAGTTTTTCAGTATTTTTACCTCATTAAAGTCAGCAAAAAATGGTCGTTTCCTATTAATCTTCCCGGAATCTGTATTCGAATTGTTTTCTGACCAACAAAAGCTTATCAATCTTGTTTATTGTAGTCCTTGCTATGCTTTTATTGTAAAATCTTTTAAGTAATAAACTTTATAAAGAGTTATTGACGACTTGTACTATCAGTGCCATTCAAAAACCAAAAAAAAATTTGAACTTGCGAAATTGCGCAATTTTTCGTTCAATAACCCAAATTTTGAAATCTACCGCTCTTACGCAATTAACAGACCTTAAGAATTTCTGTCTTTACGCAACAATCATGAGCATTTTTTCAAAAATATCAATGGTTTTTCTGCTCCAAATTACTGCGAGTCATTGGAAGTGAGCAGAAAAAACGGAAAAATCAACGAGTTCCTTTGATTTCTTGTGGATCACAGATTTGAGGAAGATACTAGTCAGTCGTGTCCGACCACCATTCAAGTGCAGTTGGGTTTTTAATTACTTCATAGGATCTCTGGGAATTTTTTATTATCCATAAAATAGAGTTGCCGAATTGGGGAGATTTGAGGGTAGCCCATAAATTCAATAAGATGGGGTTCCAAAGTTAATTAAGGCTTTCTTCAACTTTTTTGCCACAAAAATTGACCTTGGTTTATGCCAACCTTTTTTTGATGACTAATTTATGTTCTTCTATTATAATATTTATGTTTTATCCTAAAACTTAAAGAAATCGCCCTTAGTTAGCCTAAGATAATTTTATTATATTTTTCTGTTAAGACAGCAGTGATCCGACTTCTTTTTTTCAAGGACTTGTTATAATCATCCAACACATTCGTTTGATTTCTTAATTTTTTTTAATAGTTAGTATCTTCGTCCAAATTTATTTTTTCATGTTTTCAGAAATGTTTTCAATTACTTCTTTGACCTCTTTACTGCTACTTTTACCGCTGATTAATGCGTGTGCCACAAAATTCAATCCATGCAATCGACGTTCGCTTTGTGGATTAGGGACTTGTACACCATCAGAAGATTGCCTGTAAGTTCTTTTTATCATATTACCATTATCGATTTCACTATCAAAATCTAGGATTTTGAGTGTAAATTTAGACGACTTATATTGAGTAATGAACCGGTTGTAACCGCGGTGTTTTGACCTTTTCTTTTCAGCGACTTCAAATGCACTTGTCCCCCAGGATTCTCGGGAAAATTCTGCGAACATACCAACCTTCCATCTTGTGGATCAAACTCCAGAACCCAATGCATGAATGGAGGAACCTGCCACAATATTCTGAGTGGTTTTGTCTGCCAATGCCCTAAGGGCTTCTACGGTTTTGCCTGTGAATTTGCTGACCCATCCGTTCCAGAGAATTGGGGAGTTCCCAGCATTGAAGAGGACGATGATTTGGAGTTGATGATGGACATCCCAGAAGGATGGAAGAGAGTTGATGACAAACTGATTGTGGTCACTAAGATTTCAACACTCAATGAGTTGAAGAGCCAGTTGAGCAGATTGTTTGAGGAAATCAGAAACTTCACAAATGTTCGTTTGGAATTTTCAAAGTTTGAAGATGGAGAGGAGTTTATTCACGGGGAAGATTGCAGTGATGGTAAGTCAAAAGTTTGTACATTTATTTTATGATAGTTACTACGTTGTAGACACCGGTTTTTTTGTTGCAAAATTTTAAAAATTAGAGACGTTGTCCTTACATGTGCTTTTCAGATACCCAAAAATGCCAATACACCGCAAATCTCTTTGCTCTGGTACCTGAAAATGAGACTGACATTTCCATTGATTATGTGATGTCACTTCTCATGAACCCTGTTTTCCCGAATCACCTGAATCCCGAAGAACTTCATGTTGATGACAATACTGGCAAGGATCAAAAACCATTGTCCTGGACGTTTATCGGAATCGTTGGAGTGGTTGTAGGAGCCATGATGGTGATCGGATCTTTCGGAGGTTTATTGCACACTTCGAGGGGAAGGCCGTTCAAATATGGGACAACCGTGAAGAAAGCGCCTCTTGACCTGGAGGTAGGCTATTAAATTTGAAATAGGAATAGAGTGTGGGTGATTTGAGTGTAAAAGAAATTTATACTATCAGCATTACAATTTTCGTCAAAAAGCCTGGTTATATAAGAGTGAAGACAGAAGATTTCGGAGGAAAATTTTGAAAATTTTTCGAATTCATTTTTTTGTGAAAAAGAGAGTAAAAATCGAGAAATTTTATGGGTCGGCGAGTAGGAATCGAAATAGCTTTCAAAATTTCCATTTTTGGAGTGAATTCCGAGTTTACTTTTTTTCCGCCTTTTTTTGGAGTAAACTCAGAATTTACTCGCCGAAGGTGCCGGCGAGTAAATCCAGAGTTTACTCTCGGGGAACAGTCGACCCCTGAGCGCAAAAAATTTTTTTTATTTGCGTTAGTAATTCGCGCCCAACTTTCGAAAAATTTTGCCAAATCCTGACTGGGAGGCTGCAGTCAGGATTCGCGGGGTTCCTGACTCTTCGTACAGTCAAAACTTCCCGACTGTTGGCCCAGTCAGGAACCCGCGATTCTTGACTGGGTGAGGGGTCAATAACTGTTGACTAGGACGAAGAAATAGGGAGAAAAAACGAAGAGAACGAGAGAAACGCGCGCTATTTCGTGCTGTCTCTGCTTCTCAGCGCCCTCTTTCCGTTTCGCGCTCTCTCTCTCTTTTTCGAAAGAAAGAGCGAGAGAGCGCAAAAAAAGGAGAGAGAGCGAGAGAGCGGGAAACGAAGAGAGGGCGCAGAGAAGCAGAGAGAGCACGAAATAGCGCGTGTTTCTCTCGCTCTCTTCGTTTTTTCTCCCCGTTTCTTCCTCTCAGGTGACTGGGATGTCGATTTTGAGGCCGCCCAGTCAAAAACATTCCTGACTGCAGGAATCGCGGGATTCCTGACTGGGAGGCTCCCAGTCAGGATCCGGCAAAATTTTTCGTAAGTTTGGCGCGAATTGCGCCCGCCTTACATCTTGAACATAGCAAAATAAAAAAATTAGTCCTAAAAAAATTGAGTCCTGGGTCATCTGTGCCTCTGTGATAGCTGAGGAAATAATTGGAAGCGAGTAAAATCCAGATTTACTCGCCGCCATTCGATTTCTCGGCCGTGGCGAGTAAACTCCCAGTTTACTCCCGAAAATCAAATTTTTTTCCAAATTTTGGAGTAAACTTCGTGTTTACTTTTTTTTTGGCATTTTTGGGAGTAAAAAAAATTTTTACTCCAAAATCGAAAAAAAAGTGAATTCGAAAAATTTTCAAAATTTTCCTCCGAAATCTTCTGTCTTCACTCTTATATTTCTGGAAGCTTCCTAATTTTCAGTCTAAAAAGCGATAGGGAGATTTTTAGGAAAAAACCAAAATTTAAAAAAAAATTGAAATTTGTCATGATTAATAAATATAAAAAGAAAAAAATCAACCTTGACATTATAAAAATATTATCGTTATCCCTTTCAGAATGCTGTTCCGTCCCCTCAAATGCAACATCTCATTCAACTCCAAATACACGCCGAATCCAAGCTCAAATTGATCTACTCCGGGTGGGAGTTGACTCCAGAAGACCAGCAGTTTATCAGAACTTACCGCACAGTCTATGGAGACTCTGTTCTGCATATGGTCGCCAGGGCTCAAAGCTTCAACGAGCAGTTTAATATTCAAGTCGCCGGAAATTTAATTCAAATGGGAGTCGATGTCAACGCGGTTAACAAGCAAGGAAGTAGCCCAATGGAAACTGCAGTTCTCCATAATCAGACCGGTTTGGCCAAGTTTTTCATGGATAATCAAGCGGATATTGTTCTACAAAATCCAAAAAATGGATATACCATTTTGACTGCTGCAATCTCCATGAAGAACGTCAATTTTGTTAAGGATATTTTGGCATTACCTCAGGCCGAGACGCTTCTGAATATGGCAACCAAATCTGACTATCCTCAAAGCCCATTAACGCTGGCTGTCAATCAAGGGCAAATGGAGATTTTGAAGAGCATCTTGGACTGTATGATTAAGAAGAAGATCGTCAATGATGGAATTGTCAACCCGAAGATGAAGCAGGTTGGATATTCTGCACTTCATTATGCCGCATTGGAAGGATCAGTGGAATCCGCCAGACTGATTTTGGATTATGAGAAGAACAGTGGCAAGAAAAATAAGAAATATGTCCAATTTATGGATCGGGAAGACTATCAGGTAAGTCATACGGAATTCAAATTAGGGTAACGTTTTATACGACAAAAGGGTTTTTGAAGACTTTACGGTATAAAAAGACAAACCATGACTTTTTAAATTCAAAAATAGAACGTATAAAATGTTACACAAAAATATCTGTATCCTCTACTGGTGACGTGTTACACAAATTTTTATTTCAGGGTCAAACTCCTCTTCAAACTGCTGTTGTTTGCAAGTGGCTCAATGTTATTAAATTTCTGCTTGAAGCCGGATCCGATCCCAATCACAAGGATCTTGTTGGAAAATCAGCCTACAATCTGGCCGAGGAATCAAAAGACGAAGAATTCAAAAGACAATTTGATGAGATTTGTGCGCAAACTGGTGCTCCAAAGAAAGTTGTTGGCGGAAAGAAGAGGACTTATCAGGTAAGGAAGGCGTGTGAGATAATTTTTTAGAGTATGGTATAATACAAGAATTATCAAAAAATTGAATTTTTTTTTGTCAGTCTAAAATACTTACCAATACATTTTCAGGCCCTAATTCAACCCGATGTCCAGCCAATTCCCAAGCAATCACGGCCCAATCAGGTCGATAATCGTCGAATTTCCGTGGAATCGGGCATTGCGTCTGCTGACTCTTCGTTTTCCTCGACTTGCTCTCCCAGTTCGGCTCCTCAAATCCAACCTTATCTACCACAATTTGGCAACTGGAATCAGCCAGGATACGATTTTAGTCAATTTAACTCCTATCAAAACATGAATTATGGGTTTGGAATGCAAGGAAATGGCCAAATGAACTCGGTGAATGGCCTCATTAATACCCCTGTGGCTGCTGGCACCTATGGTAATTTGGGATTGCCAAGTTTATATCAAAATAACTTGAACTTCAATTCAAATCTCTTCCCTGCTATGACTATGAATCCTCTTTATCAATCTCCCAGTGCGACAACCTTGACTCCTAATTCGCAAATTTGCCCTCAGGCAGCTTATTCTTCCCCCACTACATTGAATATCCCTCAGTCTTCTCAGTCGCCCCCTCAGGCTATTAGTTCTCATTCAAACTCTCCTCAAGTCTTATCGCCAGCCAATCTTGTTCAAAATCCCACTCAGAATTATCAATCCCAATATCCTTATCCGTCTTCAAATTACTCTATGAATATGCAAATGACCGGCTCCCAGATGAATCTCGACCAAACGGGGCATATGAAATCGCAGCATACTTATTTGTCTTCCCAGATGTCTTTGAATACCTGGTCCAATTCGAATCAGTAAGATTTTGTCCTATTATTAATATTAATTTTTGATTCTAATTTTTGTTGATTTTGACTGTAAATAAAAAAATTAAAATAGTAACAACTTGAAATCTGTTCAAAGGGATGGCATTTAGTAACTCCTAAAATACCCAATTAACATACAAAACTTGGTTTTCCTATACAAAATTCATCCTTCCGTAATTTAGTTCAAAACTCTTTCAATATATTAAATTTATCAACATCACAAAATAAATTATAATACATAAAATCTCATCTAAAAAATCTCTAATCATATAAAACGGCCGAAATCTCTCCCACAATATTAACTTCCCTTCCTTTGTAGAGTTCGGAAATGGCGTCTTCTATCTGAGATTGGAGTTCTCTAGCTGACTCACACAGACTTTCCATCGTTTCCGAGTCCCGAGAAATCTGTTCCACCAATTCTGCTTGTTTCTCCTTTGATAGCCGCTCAATCTGTTTGTACTTTCCTTCGTGCTTCTTCTTCTGATCCAATTGATTGACTAAATCTTCCACATAACTGAAATAAATCGAGACAAAACATGAAAACATTATGTTAACCATGACAAATCCGACGCAAAAAAAATAAAATTTACCCTGGAGAAGACCGAATCTTGGCTAAATGCCTTGTCAAGGGGTCTGTTAGCTTCTTTTGGAACTCTTCCAATGACTTCTTCCACTTCTGTAGCTGTTCTAAGGTCACTGACTCAATTTCTTTTGGTTTAGACATTAAACTTGATATGTAAACCTGTGCTGGATCTGATGCTAACTCGTCTTGAATTCGGAATTGGAGAAAGACCAGGAGCTGAAAAACAGATAACTTCATTTTTAAATCAATACAGTAAAAAATACATCACTTATAATACTTTTACGCATCCGATTCGAAAAACGCTGTGAGAGTACCTAAATTATGGCCATACCTGTTCAACTTCAGCCTGTAAGGTCTGAAATGTCTCTTGATGCTCAAAAATTGAAAATGCATTCTCAAATCGGGCGATTCCATCGTCTACAACTTCTGCGGCACCTTCTTGAATACCTAAAATAATATAAGCCGTCACTAAAGTGTCTCTTCTAATTAAAGTACATTTTAAAAGACATCAAAAAGCCCAAGAGACCCACCCGATTCATCTCCAACCACTTCAATGTTGATGTCATCACCGAAATCAATGCCTGCACCATCACCAAAGTCAATATCATCTCCAAAGTCAATTTCGTCGTCTTGGACCTCCTGAAAATTTCAAAAATTACATCCGCCTTGAGCTTACAATCTTTTTAAGCCATGTTCACCAAGCTTCAACCTAAATTAAAAAAAAATATATTATACTTGCCTTTTCATCCTCATGGAAGTCAATCCTTTTGATTTCCTTTGGCTCTTTTCCATTTTTCCATTCATAAACCGTAAAATCAACTCCTTTTTCTCCCAATCTTTTCAATAATTCGAGTTTTTGAATATCACCAACTTCATTGTATTTCTGTACATTTTCAAAGAATTCAGCGGCAGGCAAAAATTGGCTGGCCTCTTTGGCCAACTCATTGAATTTCGTGGGCAAATCCTTGGCCAAATCGAGCAGTTCCTTCTTGATTTTCTCTCCTTTTATCCCGAATCTCTTCAATTCTCGTTGATACGAATTCCGAGCATCTTCAGCTTGTTTTACCGCATCAACCTCGCGTTTCTGGGCTTCTTTTATTTGATTCTCTGCCCTCTGGTTTCCTCGTCGCAATGCTGGGATCTCAAATTGGACTAGACGCTGGAGAATTTGAGCAGACTCCGCGAGAAAAACATTATTCTTTTTATAGAGGTCAACAATCTCTTGCCAATCTTTCATTCGTTGAGATGAGTAGAAGCCGAAGACATTCTTGGAGTCCTTCTCCGTCTCTTTGAGGATCTCCACAATCTCCTTACAATGGAAGAAGTTAATGCCTAAAATTATAAAAATTTCATGCAAACACATGGAATATCTTGATAAAAATGGCTCATAAAAGGTCAATTCAGCCCTTGTAAACCGTTTTCAAATTCCCGTTATACCTAAAATCCAACAATAAAAAAGAATTACTTACTTCCACCTCTCAGCAGCTCCAAAATCCTCTCGTTCTCTGGCATATCCAGAATGGCTCGTTTAATTTTCTCTCGAATGTCCGCACTCTTCTTTATCCAGTCGTTCTGACAATGTCGTCGACTAATTAGCCAATCTAAACGTTATTTTTCACCATTAAGAACTTACCGCACAGTCTATGGAGACTCTGTTCTGCATATGGTCGCCAGGGCTCAAAGCTTCAACGAGCAGTTTAATATTCAAGTCGCCGGAAATTTAATTCAAATGGGAGTCGATGTCAACGCGGTTAACAAGCAAGGAAGTAGCCCAATGGAAACTGCAGTTCTCCATAATCAGACCGGTTTGGCCAAGTTTTTCATGGATAATCAAGCGGATATTGTTCTACAAAATCCAAAAAATGGATATACCATTTTGACTGCTGCAATCTCCATGAAGAACGTCAATTTTGTTAAGGATATTTTGGCATTACCTCAGGCCGAGACGCTTCTGAATATGGCAACCAAATCTGACTATCCTCAAAGCCCATTAACGCTGGCTGTCAATCAAGGGCAAATGGAGATTTTGAAGAGCATCTTGGACTGTATGATTAAGAAGAAGATCGTCAATGATGGAATTGTCAACCCGAAGATGAAGCAGGTTGGATATTCTGCACTTCATTATGCCGCATTGGAAGGATCAGTGGAATCCGCCAGACTGATTTTGGATTATGAGAAGAACAGTGGCAAGAAAAATAAGAAATATGTCCAATTTATGGATCGGGAAGACTATCAGGTAAGTCATACGGAATTCAAATTAGGGTAACGTTTTATACGACAAAAGGGTTTTTGAAGACTTTACGGTATAAAAAGACAAACCATGACTTTTTAAATTCAAAAATAGAACGTATAAAATGTTACACAAAAATATCTGTATCCTCTACTGGTGACGTGTTACACAAATTTTTATTTCAGGGTCAAACTCCTCTTCAAACTGCTGTTGTTTGCAAGTGGCTCAATGTTATTAAATTTCTGCTTGAAGCCGGATCCGATCCCAATCACAAGGATCTTGTTGGAAAATCAGCCTACAATCTGGCCGAGGAATCAAAAGACGAAGAATTCAAAAGACAATTTGATGAGATTTGTGCGCAAACTGGTGCTCCAAAGAAAGTTGTTGGCGGAAAGAAGAGGACTTATCAGGTAAGGAAGGCGTGTGAGATAATTTTTTAGAGTATGGTATAATACAAGAATTATCAAAAAATTGAATTTTTTTTTGTCAGTCTAAAATACTTACCAATACATTTTCAGGCCCTAATTCAACCCGATGTCCAGCCAATTCCCAAGCAATCACGGCCCAATCAGGTCGATAATCGTCGAATTTCCGTGGAATCGGGCATTGCGTCTGCTGACTCTTCGTTTTCCTCGACTTGCTCTCCCAGTTCGGCTCCTCAAATCCAACCTTATCTACCACAATTTGGCAACTGGAATCAGCCAGGATACGATTTTAGTCAATTTAACTCCTATCAAAACATGAATTATGGGTTTGGAATGCAAGGAAATGGCCAAATGAACTCGGTGAATGGCCTCATTAATACCCCTGTGGCTGCTGGCACCTATGGTAATTTGGGATTGCCAAGTTTATATCAAAATAACTTGAACTTCAATTCAAATCTCTTCCCTGCTATGACTATGAATCCTCTTTATCAATCTCCCAGTGCGACAACCTTGACTCCTAATTCGCAAATTTGCCCTCAGGCAGCTTATTCTTCCCCCACTACATTGAATATCCCTCAGTCTTCTCAGTCGCCCCCTCAGGCTATTAGTTCTCATTCAAACTCTCCTCAAGTCTTATCGCCAGCCAATCTTGTTCAAAATCCCACTCAGAATTATCAATCCCAATATCCTTATCCGTCTTCAAATTACTCTATGAATATGCAAATGACCGGCTCCCAGATGAATCTCGACCAAACGGGGCATATGAAATCGCAGCATACTTATTTGTCTTCCCAGATGTCTTTGAATACCTGGTCCAATTCGAATCAGTAAGATTTTGTCCTATTATTAATATTAATTTTTGATTCTAATTTTTGTTGATTTTGACTGTAAATAAAAAAATTAAAATAGTAACAACTTGAAATCTGTTCAAAGGGATGGCATTTAGTAACTCCTAAAATACCCAATTAACATACAAAACTTGGTTTTCCTATACAAAATTCATCCTTCCGTAATTTAGTTCAAAACTCTTTCAATATATTAAATTTATCAACATCACAAAATAAATTATAATACATAAAATCTCATCTAAAAAATCTCTAATCATATAAAACGGCCGAAATCTCTCCCACAATATTAACTTCCCTTCCTTTGTAGAGTTCGGAAATGGCGTCTTCTATCTGAGATTGGAGTTCTCTAGCTGACTCACACAGACTTTCCATCGTTTCCGAGTCCCGAGAAATCTGTTCCACCAATTCTGCTTGTTTCTCCTTTGATAGCCGCTCAATCTGTTTGTACTTTCCTTCGTGCTTCTTCTTCTGATCCAATTGATTGACTAAATCTTCCACATAACTGAAATAAATCGAGACAAAACATGAAAACATTATGTTAACCATGACAAATCCGACGCAAAAAAAATAAAATTTACCCTGGAGAAGACCGAATCTTGGCTAAATGCCTTGTCAAGGGGTCTGTTAGCTTCTTTTGGAACTCTTCCAATGACTTCTTCCACTTCTGTAGCTGTTCTAAGGTCACTGACTCAATTTCTTTTGGTTTAGACATTAAACTTGATATGTAAACCTGTGCTGGATCTGATGCTAACTCGTCTTGAATTCGGAATTGGAGAAAGACCAGGAGCTGAAAAACAGATAACTTCATTTTTAAATCAATACAGTAAAAAATACATCACTTATAATACTTTTACGCATCCGATTCGAAAAACGCTGTGAGAGTACCTAAATTATGGCCATACCTGTTCAACTTCAGCCTGTAAGGTCTGAAATGTCTCTTGATGCTCAAAAATTGAAAATGCATTCTCAAATCGGGCGATTCCATCGTCTACAACTTCTGCGGCACCTTCTTGAATACCTAAAATAATATAAGCCGTCACTAAAGTGTCTCTTCTAATTAAAGTACATTTTAAAAGACATCAAAAAGCCCAAGAGACCCACCCGATTCATCTCCAACCACTTCAATGTTGATGTCATCACCGAAATCAATGCCTGCACCATCACCAAAGTCAATATCATCTCCAAAGTCAATTTCGTCGTCTTGGACCTCCTGAAAATTTCAAAAATTACATCCGCCTTGAGCTTACAATCTTTTTAAGCCATGTTCACCAAGCTTCAACCTAAATTAAAAAAAAAATATATTATACTTGCCTTTTCATCCTCATGGAAGTCAATCCTTTTGATTTCCTTTGGCTCTTTTCCATTTTTCCATTCATAAACCGTAAAATCAACTCCTTTTTCTCCCAATCTTTTCAATAATTCGAGTTTTTGAATATCACCAACTTCATTGTATTTCTGTACATTTTCAAAGAATTCAGCGGCAGGCAAAAATTGGCTGGCCTCTTTGGCCAACTCATTGAATTTCGTGGGCAAATCCTTGGCCAAATCGAGCAGTTCCTTCTTGATTTTCTCTCCTTTTATCCCGAATCTCTTCAATTCTCGTTGATACGAATTCCGAGCATCTTCAGCTTGTTTTACCGCATCAACCTCGCGTTTCTGGGCTTCTTTTATTTGATTCTCTGCCCTCTGGTTTCCTCGTCGCAATGCTGGGATCTCAAATTGGACTAGACGCTGGAGAATTTGAGCAGACTCCGCGAGAAAAACATTATTCTTTTTATAGAGGTCAACAATCTCTTGCCAATCTTTCATTCGTTGAGATGAGTAGAAGCCGAAGACATTCTTGGAGTCCTTCTCCGTCTCTTTGAGGATCTCCACAATCTCCTTACAATGGAAGAAGTTAATGCCTAAAATTATAAAAATTTCATGCAAACACATGGAATATCTTGATAAAAATGGCTCATAAAAGGTCAATTCAGCCCTTGTAAACCGTTTTCAAATTCCCGTTATACCTAAAATCCAACAATAAAAAAGAATTACTTACTTCCACCTCTCAGCAGCTCCAAAATCCTCTCGTTCTCTGGCATATCCAGAATGGCTCGTTTAATTTTCTCTCGAATGTCCGCACTCTTCTTTATCCAGTCGTTCTGACAATGTCGTCGACTAATTAGCCAATCTAAACGTTATTTTCACCATTAAAATTATATTATCCTTACCCAGCAGCTTGTTACTATGAATATCGATGGCTAATTGATCCATCTCTACAATAGAGAAAAAAATATACAAATTACTACAAATTATATTGTTTTTGACCAAAAATTGGCAATAATTTTTGCGGTAACGTGTTTATTTCAGAATGCCAAAGGCTGTTTGTTTTCGCTGTGTGTCCAAAAGCAAAATGCGAATTCTCGCAAAATTGAATTAGAAATTGTTTCTTTTTTGAAATTGCACAGTGAACGGTCGCTGCTCTCAGTTATTTTGAGTTCTACCTGATTACCAACCCCGAGTCCATCTTAACCTAGCAAGAATAATGTTGTTGATGATCTTCTGGCATATTTTGATCGTCCTCTTCTTCTCTAGTGGTCTCATGAGTCTTTGCGCGAAGGAAGCTCAGAAACGCCCGGCAAAGCAAACTAAAATGAGCGGAGAACATGGTCTCAAGAAGTCGTCGGCCAGTACGGATGACAAAATTGAGCCGCAGAAGAAGAAGTCGGCGTCCGTACTCAGTGGAACTCCTAATGCAAAAACTGTAAGCCTTTGCTATGTACTCTCTGAAACCATCTTAAAACAAGCTAACTTTCAGTTTGAACGCTTTTTATATTAATTTGTATCGCTTTAGAGCCGAGGAACCAAAGGAGATGACGATGGTGAATATGAAGAAAATGCCAACGTTGAATCGGTAATTGAAGTGAAACAAGTGGGAGATCAGATCATTTACATCAAGAATGGAGAGGTTATCAAAGTTGCATGATTGATTTGGAAGTTTGCTTTTATACTGTAGTGTTTAACCAAATAAATCTTTTACTATTGATTGGTAAAGCGCCGGCTAAAATTTTCAGTAATTGATTTGTAATCTGAATTTTACGAATTTTAAGAGCGCCGGAGAAGTACACTTGAAGCTGCCTTTATTGCTGAATAAACTATGTTACAAGTCTTAATCTTTTATAGATATTTATGCCCAAAAGCGATTAGATCTCTCTCACTCCTGGAATCCCATCCGTTTCCGTTTTGTTCATAAATTCCGTGACCTTCAACTTTTATCAAAAGGACAATGATGCATGTTTATTACCACTCAAGTCTCGATAACTTTTTTCGATGAACTTTTTCTTCAACGGAACTCTCCACGAAAAGATCTTCCCATGGAGAGAACTTCACGGAAAGATCCAAAGGAATCAAATACATAGAAATTTGAGGAAAGAGCAAAGATTCTTTACCCATAAAAACGATTGATTACAAGTTTCTCTGACAGTTCAAAAAATGGTGAACATCGACATGGTATCAGCACCATTTTCGATGACATATGAGAACATCAAGTAAGATGACCGTTGAATTGCATCAACAATTTTGTTAGTGATGAAATTGTTTGTGGCGATTGCTGTGATCCCGCGAAACAGAAACTTGATCTCTACCTTGTGTTTTTGATAGATGACAACTCATAGAGTATAAAAGACGTCGTCCCAAACGTAGAGTAGGTTCCAGGTATTGATGCAATCAGAAGTGATAGAAAATGATTACTATTTATAAAGATGGGTACTGTAAGGCATAGGAGATCATCTCTCCTTGGCAAGGGTGGCCATTTTATTGCAAAGTAAAGATGCAAGTGGCTTATAAGGTCTGAATTGTTTGTCACATAATTTTTATCGGGGCCAATGCTGGGCAAGGTTCAGGTGCTATTCTACGGTATCAAATATTTTATCCCAAGACCAAATTAGCCTCGACATTTTTGTCAGCATCCCTATTCTCGTTCTAAAGTCCAATCAGCCTACTTTAGTCCATGTTTGCTTGCACGTTTCGCAATAAGCGATATGATCTCTTCATCAGACTATGCCACTATTCCCGTCTCATCACTCCCACAATTCCCAGAAAAGATCGGTTTGTTAACCAGTAAGTGATTAGCATCTCGATGACATCCAAGATGATATCATAACTTTGTCGCCCAACTCGTTTTGCGCGCCGTTCTCGGCGCATCTTCACGTATAAATGGGCTTGAGACATGTTATTGTAGTCGGTGTTGTCGACGAAATTCGCGCCTTCCGGACTGATCTTTCCTCTCTTTACAACGAATGGGTGGAACCACGTGTTAGCGGAAATGGGTGGCTGAAAAAGTTATCTGGAAATGGTGATATTATTCTTTGGTTATCGTTGATAAAACGACCAACCAGACGGGTAATGAACTTTTTAGGAAAGCGAAAAGTGTGGTCGTGGAAGATGGATGTCCTAGCGGTTGAAATGGTGTTGTCAGAAATTTTGTGCTGCTCTTAAACCTTCACATACGAAATTTAAACTCTCAGATTACCGTATTCTTTGTTTTGATGATTTTTTATTTTTGATCGCAACGATCCCTTTCGAAATTTTCGCTCCTGTCTTTATCAGAAGTTAAACTATTATACGATAATCAACCATTTCAGAGAGTCATGGCAATCCCAGCAGAAATTATAAATACCGTCACTTATCAGCTCCCCGACCTCAAGATCACCAATGCTCTTCTTATTAGTGAAGAAGATGTCTCTATACCGTAAGATTTCAACCTTGATTTTACCATAGTTTTCTAGAAATATCCCAGAGGAAGCAAATGCTCAAGGAACAACGATTGAGGCTCTTGACAAAGTAGAAAGCGGCTCAAAGGACATTGTAATCATCAACAGGCTTTCCGCTGGAGAAGTAAGTCGAAGTTAAAAAAGATTTATCATCCAAGACATCGTGCTCATGTCAGGTGTAAGAAAAATGGCTCCATACAGTTTTTTCCAGGCCGGATGCCAGTCGTTGTAATATTCAGCTCTTGCTTTTAGGTCTCACTTTTGTTTGTATGTTTTGTATTACATAATATTACATTTCAGAAGAACCAGCCGAATCTTGACAAAATCATGAAAAATACATTGAGAATCCTCAAGAACGAGGGGGTTGCCGTGGCTTATGAAGATTTTGGTAAGAGGTGATGTGTGTTTCTATCAATAAATTTTAGATGAAATAACCCACTCAGAAGTCGCGAGCTTGTCAACTTTATTTGACACGTTCGAAAACAAAGAAGGCGAAAATACATCCAGCTTCAAGTTGTTGGCTATGAATCAAACTTCAGTAAGCTTGAGAGTGACAAGATTTGAGCATAATGTGTTTTATGATAGAATTATGTCAAAAGTTATATTTATTAAAAAATCCAACTTTTCAGGAAGAGACCACGGAAGGTGTCTATTGGATTATGATCAAGCACACTGCCATTGGCGACGAAAACCTCGTGTTCCGTTCATTCTTGGACAGAACTCAATACGTCCCGCAGAACGTGGAAGCTTACGAATGGATCTTCGGGAAGGAGTTCCTCAGTCCCGGCGGAGTTAACATGAATCGCCGAGTTTTCTCTCAATTCGATGATCTTGAGGAAGGAAAGAAAATGTTGGATATTGGATCAGGATTGGGTGGAAGTGTGAGACAAGTGGCCAGAGACGTTGGTCTCAAAGTCACGGCCTGTGATATCAGCGCCAACATGATGGCCTTGGCCATTTTGAGGCACAGGCAACGCCCCGTTGACGGCATTACTTACATGTTAGCGGACGTGATGAGATATCAGTTCAAACCAGAGAGCTTTGATTATGTATATACCAAAGATTGCATCCATCATATCTTTGACTTGGATTCACTGTTGCGAAAGATCAGAGTAAGCTTTTATTCATGGTCTAAAGTACGATATGACAACCTAAAGTAACATCGGTAATTTTTAGGAGATCTTGAAGCCCGGAGGTCAGTTGATCATCACGATGTACGGCCGAGGATATGGGCCATTTACTGAGGAATTCAAACAGTTTGTCAGCTCAAGGAGATATCATTTGAATACCGTTGAAGAGATGGAACAACGGGCCAAAAACGCCGGGTTCTCAGAAGTCGAAGCCGAAAACATCACTCCAATTTTCAAACAGTGCCTCGAGAAAGAGCTAAAACGAGCTGTAGACCACAAGGACGAGTTCTTAAAAGTAAAATTTGACAAAAATAATTCTAGAAATACTTTTTTCCAAGTCAAAAAATTTGATTTCAGCGTTTCCCTGAGGACAAATACAACGGCCTGGTCGACGGCTGGAGACAGAAACTCGAATTCATCAAAGCCGACAACCATAATTGGCTAAAGATCAAGTGTACAAAGTAAAACAAACCACTTCGACCTTTGAAAAATATAAATATTCGCTAGCTATGTAAATTATAGTAAATACCATCATGCCCTTGAATAAAAGTAGAAAACTTTGGAGTCGAAGCACGACCGAAACCTTTACCATCCCTTGCAAAATTCGCACGGCCTTTATGAAGGCGTTGAAAGTTCATTATTTATGCGAAACGGAGAGGAAACGGTCGGCGGTGGATCTTTCAATTGCCCTACCAAAGAGCTGAGTTCAGAAGAGAGAAAACATGGATGCAAGCAAGAATAAGCCGGAGCGAAGAAGCGTCAGGACTGCCAGTCTAGTCCACTCTAGTCAGTAGGCTTTACAAAGTAAAGTAATATCAAGAACAAGTATTTTAGGAAGGACTCGAACAGTAGCTCTAGAAGCAGGAAAATGACGAAAAGTCAACATGAGCAAAGGTAAGTCAAAATTGGAAGAATAAGAGCTCTCTTAAAATCATCGGTAAATTTGCAGAAAAAATTTGGGCAATTTCGAAAGCGAAAACTTGGGCGTATCTCAGAAAATTCTTTATGAAACGGAAAGAGATTGGTTGAAAATACGATTACAAGGTAAAACACGACAATAAACTCATAAAAATTTTATTTCAGGTCTGTTCATAACAGCAGCCACGGTAGTCGCAGTGGCTTCAAACGCTTCATAATGAAGGTGGGGGAGATGGTTGGAACCGTAGATAAGACCGAGTATCCCCAAGATCTGACCGACAACTTGAAAGAAGTAGATATGTACCAGATTGTGCTCGAAGATGTCGCCCGCAACATCTGTCTGGCCGCTCAACAAACCCCAGGGTTGGTATCTCAGCCCTCCGGCGAGATGAATTTCGAATATCCGGAAGGAACGAACCCGTTTGAAAAACTGAATGAAGTTCTGGGCAAAGCTGAGGCAGTCTATGAAGACAAGGTAAGTGGGAATATAGTGACTTCATCGTTTTTTTGAAAATTGGTAAATTTTTTGATGGTTTTTTAGAAATTAGTCGAAAAACATCGAGCTCTTTTAACTAGCCTCAGCAAAACTCACCATCAATATCAACGAAAAGTGAGGAAGGACCTAAAGAAGATCAGAACTTTCCTCCTGGTCGAATGCGAAAAGATGTTCGTTGAAAGAAAAAGTAAGTTACGAAGTGTCACAAAATTCATTGGTTTTTTCAGTTTGTTGCAAAACGAAAATTAAGGGTACTAATGCATCCATGGGTAAACTAAATTATTTCAGAGTTGAACTCGGTCCGTCAGGAGATGGATTACTCCCGCCATGAGCTCAAAACAGCTAGAAATCCGGAGATGCAAGAGATTCGAAAGAATGTTTTTGAGAAAGCTCAAGCCGAATATAATGCCCAACTCACTAAACTGGTCGGAATTCTAGGACAACTACCAATCCAGAAAGAGCAGCATGCGGAAGAAGTCAAGGGATTTGTTCACCATTACAAGAAATTCCATGATCTCTGCTTGGTGGAGTTGAAGAAGATGAGGAAGGCTTCATGAGAGTATGCAAGACTAGTTTATACTTAAAACTCGGTACTTTCTATTGTAGTAAACTATGTGAAATTGCAAAATTTGGGGTTTTAATTTATAGCATTTTTGATAAGGTAGGACAAAACCTTCTGGTTACAGATTACTGCATTGTCAAAAGCAACGATTCTGCGCATTGCATACATAAAGGAATAATAATGATTGACATATACAGGGCGACCTAATCCAGTGGCAAAAAACGTACCATTTTGCATCCAGGAAGCACCAAAAAATGTGGCAAAATACCTCCCTCTCCAAGTGAAAAAACTGAGATTTCAAAAGCGCACCCGCTCTTTCTTTAGCTCTTTTTGTGAGGAAAAAGAGCGCGCCCTTCAAAACGAAGTTTTTGCAATTGGAGAGGGAAGCATTTTGCCACATTTTTGATATTTCCCGGATGCAAAATGGTACGTTTTTTGCCACTGGATCAGGTCTCCTCACTGTATATGGAGTCTACACCAGCTTTGTAAAAAAATATGGTGTTAGCGGTACTCATTCTTTAGTTGATTTTCAATTCGTTAAGCTGTCGACGTCAATTGAATTTTGGAAACATCATTAAAGGGAGCGTTAAAAAGTAATATTTTCACGGGATCCACCGATTTGCGATCCCCAGTTGAGTTATTCTCCCAATTATCCTATTAACACGCGCTTTAAGTTCAGCCTATTACGTAAAAAATGATAAGGTGTACCGACCTTTGTGATTACCATCCCCCAGGGAGGGATGGACAATTTTCGAGCACACTACGCAAAATTGTCTCACGATTATTGTGGGGGTTTAGAACGCGGGTAAAAACTGATAATTGGAAGTTTCGGCACATTTGAATTCAATTATTTGGTGCGGAACCGGAAACTCTTTGGGAGGTGGGGGATAAAAATACGACTGTAAGCCGAGAGATGCCCATGAATTTAAATGAGTCAAGAAAGTTATTTATATTTATGGGGGCGCACTTGGTGTGCAATGTCGCGGGCCGAGTGCTGATGATATATTGTAAGCAGGCGGTCCAATAATCTTTAATTCGTTTTGAAAGTTTTGTGACATTATATCAAAAACTAATCGAACAATCCTGAAGAAGGTACGCGGATAATGATGATGCACTTACTGTGAATAGGCTTACGTATGTAAAAAGCACAAATATGTAAGCGTAGATAATTGTTAAGTTTTCACCGTTATATCCATTCGCGGGAGATTTTTACCGGCTCTTGCTCTACACCGTGCGGTCTTGAGTGTCCCACATTTTTCTAGCAACATTTTTTTGTACATATTTTTCCTTTATGCAAAGTAATCTTTGCTCAGCAGCGCTAACCTGCTTAAAGATATAACAAACAGATATGTGTTTGTTTGAAACTCTTGATTAGTATTATTCATTGAATCACTAAGCTATCTTATTCCGTCAACACTTATCCGCTTTCCGGTTGCCGCCCTTTGTTTTGTCGGGAGAGGCTAGAATCTCCAATCCGCTCTTCCAAATCTCCTTCAGGCACCAGATCCCCAGATCTTTGAGGCGCTGAACGTCTAATAATTCCCAGAAAATGATTGGTTTAATGGTTCTCTCAAGGCGTAATCCCACTGTTTTCGACGGTTTGCACACCAAACATCGGCGCTTTCTGACAGTCAATTTCAAGATTAAAATTTCCGCACGACTTTTTTTATAATTTTAATTTATTTGTGCTATACAAATGTAACTAGATACATAACAACGGGGGGTTTTCAAGTCGTAGAAAGTGAAATTAATTGGCTGGATAAGTTGAAAACATAACATTATTATTAAAATATACAACATGCACAGAAATAGTAAATAAGAACAATAAGTAAAATTGGACCCGTGATAAAGTGTTGTTGACTAAGATTGAGGGTTAAAGCTCAAAAGTTACAATAAAATTCTACACGAAAATCAATCCAACAATCAAGACAGTGCTCGGAATGGGGGTTTTGTAACGTATGTGGAAGATATGAGAGGGAAGGGATCGGATTTGGCAAGAATGCAATGGTTTTGGTTTCTTCAAGGCCTGTTGAAGCATAACTAACAATTTTTAACTGAAAAGTTTGTACTATCCCGCCCTTTTCCCGATCCCAACAAGGTAACCTAATGAATGTAAGATTGGCGATCCTAATAGTCAATCGAGCTCGAGTTATGCCTCATAGGCATGTACAGGTGGTTCACCCGCCTCCTCACTAGCTCCATGTCCTCATTGAACAAGTCGCATTGACAGATAGGGTAGTTGCAGCACGGTATTAGATGTTTCTGGAAGTCTCCCAATTGTTTTGGTGCGGGTTCAATTGATGATTTATGGTCTTCAACAATACTTTCTACTTTCTCCAATAACATGTCAGGAACTTGTTCTGCTGGGAGTTCGTACATTTCGAAGGGATCTTGACTCAGGTCATATACTAGTGGCGGATCATGTTTTTGAAGCTCTTCTTCGGGACAGGTTTGCGATATGTACCTGAAAAAGAATTAAATTAAAATTGCTTCTAAAAGCAACTGCCTTTTTTTGCTTCTTAAGAATTCTGCAGAAAATTATGTAGAGTTCTATTTAGTAAGAGTCCCGCCCCATGGACCGTAGTTTCTCCGTTAATGACTTTAGTTCCTCCAGCTCAATAGGTCAATTTTAAAAAGGGAACGCGCTAAATGGGAAGGTGACTTCCTAAAATAAAAAAAATGAGTCGGCGATGAGTAGGCGTGTGTGACAAGAATTAACTCAGTATTCAGGAAGCGGCCGTTTTATAATTGCGTATGTTTTCTTAGGAAACGTGTAAGTATATCCGGCGGGAAAAACAATTTGTTTGCTGCAGAAAGGTAATGGAATAATTGAATTCATGATGTAATCTCTGAATGCATGACCTTAACGCGGTCTTGCCCGACATGGCTCTGATTACTTTGGGGGTCTGGTTACGGTAGGAACTAGAGGTCTTTACATAAATTTTCACCTTTGTGATCCGGTAAAAACAAAGCATAATTATTGAAAGACTCACCAGTCATCTATCGGTTTGCCTCCGGGACAGTTTTCTTTCAAGTTGGGGTTGGTAGTATAATTACGGAAAATGGGCGAGGTCATGTAATGGATCTTGTATTCTCCATATCGCACCGCCATAAGATGGGTGTTGCAGTAGAAGAAAATCGGCCGTCTTTTACTTAAGTCAGGCCTTTTTGACCTCCTAATGTTGGGATCGACAGGCGAACCCCTGAGCTCGTACCAGACATCTGTTCCGTCCAATTTACCGTTAACCTCTGTGCTGCTTTCTCCAAGCTCGGCCAGTTTCTTGAATGTCGGGAATAGATCTAAACTCCACAATACTTCATGGGAGATATGCCCGGCCCGAACTGTGCCTGGCATCCATGTCGCAAAAGGGATTCTGAATCCTCCTTCGAAAGAGTTTGATTTTCCCCCTTTAAGACCGGCGGTACTTCCTCCATTATTGCAGAGTTCTTGGTGCGGCCCGTGATCTGACATGAAGACAATGAGCGTTTCGCGCTCAATTCCTCTTGATTTAAGATCGCTGACGACTTCTCCAACAGCCCAAGCCATTTCGTTGACGTTGTCACCAAAAAGTCCTAAAATTTGGTCGTTTAGTACTTTTAATAAATCAGGCTATGTGTATGCTAATTATAAGCTTACCTCTTCGAGATGACCCTTTGAAGATCCTATTGGCAAATTGAGCTGAGTGTACGTGAGGGAAAGAGAAGTAAAAGAAGAATGGATGCTCAGATTTCTTCGTCACTTCCCAGTCCTCCAAAAACATCCTCCAGTCGTTAACAAGATCTTCCGTTAGATTCTCAAAACGAATGGGCTGCTGTACAATATCATCTTTGTAGTACAAGAAACACTTGGCTGGTTCAGGTCCTTTTGGAATGAAATCTCCGGACTGGTCGCACTCGTAGACATTTGTGAAGGGCAGATTTAGGCCAACATAATCAAAGCCTCGTTTGGAAGGCAAGTAAGCACCATCAGTTCGGTTGTGTTTGTTGATTCCAAGATGCCATTTGCCAATCATGCCCGTATGGTATCCTTAAAAATCACGCTTATTACAAGAATAAATATATTATACTTTAAAGACCGATCTTTTATAATTATCTACTATGCACTTGCGTAAGAGGATCTTCTGTATCCTTTTGCGTGACTAATATATTCATTAGATTTTAATCTTGCTTACCTGCATTTTTTAGCATTTCAGCGATAGTTGGCTCATGTCTGGGAAGGCCTCCGGAATCTGCAGCGACAAATACGCGGGCTCCACCAACAACGCCTAGTCTGATGGGCAAACGTCCTGAAAATACAAAACATCATTCACGTCTCAAATTAAACTTTTGCGCATGCATTTGCAATCAGTGAATTTTGAGTACCATTGAATGTTTACATGACTAAGATTCATGTCGGATTTTATATGTATGCATGACCTAATTTATAATGCAAAAGGTGATGGAATTTGAGTAGAGAAGGACCCGAGTCTTATATAGGTATATGGGTGCGTGAGAACAGCGCATGATGTTCTGTTCGACGATCGGGTTCGAGTTGGATTCCCATAACGGAATTTAATACTAGAAATGGTATCCAAAATTCCGTCATGCGACCCACATTTTTAATCATATATTCTGTGAAAACTGCTTGAATATTGCACGAATAACACTAGTCATAAAATATTTTTTGCTCTCTTACCTGTCATGAAGCCTGCCCGAGATGGCGAGCACATTGAATCGGCGGAGTATACGTTTGTGAATCTCGTTCCCTCACTCATTAGTTGATCTACTGGCGTCCACTCTTGCGTGGGGTTACCGTAACTGTTTAAATCGCCATATCCTAGATCGTCTACCATGAGGACAACAATGTTCGGTCGTTCTGGGGTGGCCCCTATGTGATTTCGTGCATGATTTGACGCTGTCGGCACCGATACCACGCACGCCACTAGCAGCGAAAACAATGTGATGCCGATTTTGGACCACATGAACCTGTGCAAAATGGTTAGTGCGTTGTAAAAACGGGAACGTTGTGGACCAACGGATCTCGGTTTGAGTCGAAGCTTGCAGCTCGATCTTCTGTGTGTATTGCGTCTAAAAAAATCGTGTAAGTTGCGTATGGCAAACCGTTGACGCAAACGGTTGAAAGATAAAGGAAATGCAGGTTTCGAAGACGGCTTTAGGAAAATTATGCTTTTTGTGGGTAAATAAAAGATGAAATAGGAAAAATGCTAGGTAAACTACCTAAAAGTTCTGGAACCACGGGTAACAAGTTAATGATATAAAATATAAAGGTTCTAAAGGGATGATATTTCTGACACGCAAAGATTCGATCATCAGAAAGCTACTCTAAACTTATAAAAGAACTGTTATCACTAGTGTGATATGGTAGCGTAGCCCAAATAAAATGATTATATGACCTATAAATATTCGATCAATTTCCGTCAGGTCGTACGTACGCTGAAACCAAACGCCACGCGAACGGGAACAGCGACTGCTGATAAATTCCAGGGCCATTAATTTAAATGTGGTTAAACGGGTGCGGGGAGCCGAAGTGCCGCCCCTTTTGACCTTGGCCCCTTATATATGTGTTGATGCCCCGCCCTGTTTTTGCTTTTGCCAAATCCGCTTTTTCTCCGCATAGGCGCGGCCAATAAGCACACCGTTTCAATAAGAACCAAACACCAACAAACAAAAAACCAAAAATGCAGGCAACGAATGTTTATACTGTTACATTTTGTAGGCAGCGCTCCACACTCTCCGTTAATGGCGTTCTCCCTAACCGGTGTGTTTCCCATGTGGGGTGGAGAGGAAGTTGATATGGTGGGAGCTTAATTAAGCTCATCTCACCTGTCAGGCTTTTTGACGGATGCAGCAAGGGAAGAGACAATCAGCGAAAAAGGGCAATTAAAAATTACCGATAAATGCTATCCTAGAAACTCAAAACTTCAATCAAATTCGGATTAACGCCGCTAAAGTCGTTGAAGTGATTAAGCTCTCGGATTAAGAAAGTACGTCTGCTAAGTACGGGGTACACAACCTAATGATAAATGCTCACCATCCATTCGTTATAAGACTGCAAGAGCCGGACTTAACGGAATTTGAGCAGATTAATAAAACAGGCATACTGTATCAGCTATTAAGCCTTGAAGGTTGAATAGCCAATCTGAACTATAAATTTTGCAACAAGGCTTGAATTTTTTGATGAGAAAAAATCCGCATTGAGACAGGTCTAGGGGTTCGACCTTAAGAAATCACAAGGAGCATCCAGAAGTGTATCTCGAAAAAAGAACACGATCAAAATTTGGATACCTGATGATATTATCATGTCTCACTGCAAGCTTAAAAGAAGTCCTTCTAAAGATTTCTTAAAAACATTTCGGAACGGTTCGAAACGTCTATTAATCACGATTAAGCGCTTATTTAGAGCCTTCGTCATGCTTGTAGGAATTAAATACAAAACTTTAGGGAAATCGCAACTACAGACACGCAATTGCAATACAAACAGGTAAGGGTCAAACCTTATTTAGCAGTTTGTAACATACGATATTTACAGCACTTCAAATTTCGTTGGAAACTTGGGTATCTGCGTAAAACAGCGCCTATTTTTCTTTCACTTGTAGGTACGAAATTCAAGAGCGAGACGTTGTTTCCTCGATAAGAATACGAACGTTGACCATTTCATCCGTAAAAAGGAGACATGGATACATTGTAAAGTATTATTGTGATGTAGTACAATTTACAAATTCTACTTATTCTTATGCCACAAACCTTGTGATGTATAGGTTTGTAATAAACACAATTACTGGCCAGGAATTACCAAAAGAAGACCTCATACTATAACGTAGTTTTTACAGAAAACGAAAGTGACCTTGGGGCAAATAGGACCCCAATGGATCTTAAAAATGCTCATTAAACCGATATTGCGCTTCAGAGATTATTGTAACGTCAGAACCCGTACTGATGTGTCAAAGTGAATATGAAAAGGTATGATGATACGCAAAATTTGTAAGCCGTAAACACAATCAAGAGGCCATTGCGATGGGTGTTTCCACTTGGCGCAGAATGTATCTTACAGTAAAACGGACTATATCTTGGAACTTTCCGTTAACTGGAAATCTACGGTTTTTACTAAAAAACGAAGAAAAACTGTGAAAGCGCCCGTGTGAAATCAGGTCAACGCTACGGTCGTAGCGGAAAGTTCAACCGACCAACCATGCAATTTAGTTTATGTTTTTAGTTTATGTGGTACAAACAAAAGTTTACAACAAATTTTTGTACTCGAATTCCATTGACTAACTTGTACTTGAAATAAAGTTCTGTTAAGCGAGTTTCGTTAAATCGAATGCAGGGCGTTGTTGAAAAAAATTGGAAATTCAGAAATTGCATCTGTTGTTGCGATCAGTATACAAAATTTTGCAAATTCTCAAAATTCGCCCCTCGTCATGTCTATCTATGACACGTGAACTAATTTTTCGCATTTCTACATTTTTGACCTCCAAAATAAAAGTAATGAAAATCTATGGCCTCCAAAATTGTTAAACCAAGCGTCTCATAACTTATTCAGGAAATTTTCCGAATTTAAGGGCCATTTCCTGCTACGAATTTCTCATTTTCCCAATCTGTAAACCTCGAATTATTAGATTAATCCACCCCCGACCTGGTGGTTGAAGAACAAAAACCGTCCAGAAGTATCCCGCCTGAACTCAAAATCCGAGATGAACCCTCGGTGGCCCAGAAACTGCATCCACTTTAAAGGTAATCCCACGAGAAACCAATTACCTAATCTCCCATAATTTGCTAGGATATTATTTTGCTGATCGATGATCGGTTCTGGAAAAGGAAAAAAATTCCTTTATCCAAAAACATTCATCGACGATTCTCCAAAAATATATCGTATAAGCGGGTTTGGGCCGCGTTTTTCGGTTTCTTCCATGTATTTTTGCGAAATTTAAGCCTTATTAATGGATTTGGGAGCCGGTTTTTGATGCAGGCTTGGTCGCAATATTTGGGCGGAAATTGCAAACTAAGACCTTTTGTCATCAATAACATTTCAAGACCAGAAATGTTGTTGATGACAACAGGATGTTGTAACCCTTTTGAAAAGTGAGAGAAACTAGTCTGGTCAGATGGTCGTCGCAATCTTACAAAATCGTATTCCTATTTTCGCGGGCTCAGTCGTCGAAATGAAAGGAAATTATTTACATGGAAAAAGCTTTCGCTATGTATTATCAAAGGAAGCTATTCAAAACACAGACCAAAAAATAAGGGCTGCATCAAGATAACACAGCATGGTAAACTCATGTTAAAAACGTTTTGTGGACTATGAGCCTTACAGTATGAAGTTGTTAAACCCAGTCTTTCGCCCGCTCATTTGCACCTTTGCTTCCAAAAATGTTCCACCGGATCTGCGCCTATAACCATTCTCTGCCGCATATTTAGCAATGGCGTCAGTTCCTAATGCCGTGTACAACATTGGGGCCATTGCATGTAAAAAACTGTTTTCCATACCGATGAGTTTCATGTGGGCCTCCCACAACTGTACGTAACATTAATCTATTAAAATATGTTTTATTAAAACGCTGGTGAGTGCGAATTTTGCATGTCATGTTATCCCAGTTATCGTATTAATTCAACTGTATCACATTCCCTCAGCTGAATTGGCATTTTCTGCGACTCCGGCGAGTATACGCAAAAATTAGTGTAACATGCAACAGCTGATACGAAATTCATGATCTCAGTGTATCCTCGGAATAATACAAAGTACTAGTGCTGGAGTACTTGCAATTTCACTGTTTAGGCGGAAATATAAAGGCGGGGTTAAGAGGAACACAGATGTTTGTGGCTCAAGTTGTCACACATTTCTGTTTAAAAGATGATGCATCAATGGTAAGCGTAACGTTGCAGTTGTTTAAGCTACAATTTACGGAATTATAAAATGGCGTTAATTGTAATTACTATTGTTTTGATCAAAGGACATCAAGAATCGAGGAGGCCACAACAAGATCCTCTGTAAATCTCGTCATAAGGTACAACCGGGATGCACATTTTACAGCACTGTACAATCCTAGACCCGTACCAAGTACAAAGCATCAGAGCGATGTCTTTGAAAAAGTAAACAATTGTACACAGGTTAAGGGCATCTATTGAAGAGGTCTTCAAAATGTAGACAAGACTTTCCCGGTTGAAATAACAGCCATTGTGTTCATTACAGTAAGAACATAAAACAGATTTAAGTGTAAACGTCAATGACCAAGCTATGGGAACTAATGGCAGGACGATTAGTACTGCTCTGTGCATACTCTTGAAGTGGGAGTCAGTGTTTGGAGATGGCGTTGTGAAGATACATACAAACTAGAACCAAAGGGCACTGTTGTCAAGTTGCATAGGATTCAGTTCGAAAGCCAGAAACCTTCGCGTTGCAATTTTCAGAAACAGCTGATTGTGAGATTTCTCATACTAAAAATAAAATTTTCACCACACAAAGTGATGTGTCTGCAATATTATTTGCTCTCAAGTCAAAAAATGAACTACCGTAACGACCCGAAAACCAATGACTCCAACTATAGCCCAAAGCTCACTAGTCAGTCAAGAATCGAAAAAAACGTCGCGCTATGATAACACTTCTATTGTATCATATGCTTTTATATATCTCGGACAGATAATAGCGTCTGTGAATACTCCCATTATAATGTCATTTCCGTGAGAAAAAAGTCAGCAAACGAAGAAAGCGTTCGCTGCAAATGCGTTTAGCATTCACGCTTCATCGCATTTGTTCTAAAATATGTTATCCGCAGGACATTTAGACGTTATTTGTGGATGACTACGCTCACGTATGTTTCATCGGGTAATTGGTGATATTCAAATCCGAGTTTCGGATTCGTCAATCGGAGTGAACACGTTCCCTTCACATGCTGCCCGAGAGTCTGGGGGTGTACACAAACCATATTTATAGCCAACAAAAAGTGGGCCAAGCATCGGTATTCGA